CATTGGTATCTTTTAGAGGACAGGTTTAAAACTGGTTATTTTCTCCACTTCTTATTGGGATAGCAAGAGAATACCTTGGAAGTTTATCTGTCTGCCAGGTATATATAACATTTGGGCATGTCACATTTAGAGCAAAGTTCCTTTCTGTTCTTCCTGTCCAGCAGTTTAGTGCCTCCCAAGGGCAATGCACAAGGCAAGGAAGGTGGAGTTCAGTCAAACTCACGACTGCGTTTCATAGCAGACAAAAATGAAAGATCAATGTCCATTATATCATATCTGCAACGCTATTGGACACAAAAGGCTTTTATATGATTCAAACTGCTTATGGAAATTGTCCTTGCTCCATTTCTTTCATCTTCTAATGCACCACTGGATAGTGACTTCCCTGACACTGGAATCTGATACATAGATTTTCATTTAAATGCTTTCTGTGTAATCATTTATGGCCCGACGCTATAAATACATTGAAGAAAGTGCATTGCTTTCATCACTTCCAGAGACTTACAAGACACTGCCCCCATAAGCAGTACTACCCATGGCCCAAGTTATCAATCCTTTGATTTTGAAGAAAGCTCATCACCCCTGTGAAAGGCAACAGTCGTACACGAACGTCTGCAGGAATTCAGTGCAGCCTTCTCTCCCGCTGAATTCCCACAGAGTCCACGAGGACATCTTTCACAAGGGGAGATGTTGCTGATCATTTGTGTAGTTATTTAAAACTTTATCCTTTTTTATTCTCAAATAGCATGCTATGTCCTACAACATGGTTCCAGGGGCTGTGCTTGAGTTTACTTGTCTCTTGTACGTATTTTTACTTATATTGTCTGCAGTGCTTATATTGCCTACCATATGATGGGTTTACTTTGTAGATTTTTTTCCTTAACTTTGAGGTACTTGAATATGGTATCTTGAAAAGATCAACTAATGACTCTCCTTTTTTAAAGGTTTTTCCTGTTTAGCATTGTTAATTACAAGCTCTGCCAAATCAAATAATTTAAAGTTTGAAGTGAGTCAATTCTGACCAAGTCCTATGAGACAACTACCTAAAAGGAAGAGACAAAAAAAAGACACACTGTGCAAACCAAAGCATTTGTTTGGAGCAGGAACTTAATCCCAAATTCACTAAATAAGTTCCCTGACCACTACACTATAGAGGTAAATAAGGAGCAGAGGGCAGAAGACAGAAAAATCCATCTATAAAAGTACCTACACCATACACCTTTTATCTTTCATCCTGACTCAGAAATACTCAGTTACTTAGATAAAAGGTGGAATCAAACCAGCAGATGAAATGGAGAATGAGATCACATGGCAGACGGGTGCTTACACTCCACTGAAGCTCACACGATCAGTGCAGGGTTAGCTAAGCCAACAAGGCTGCACACAGGCTTCTTTGCAAGGGTGTATAAATCTGCACAAGACGCAAGGCAGTGACGAGTCAAACTCCTGACTTCTAACGCTAACCTATCTTGTCAGAATAAAAAAGTAATACAAAAATATCAACACCCTTACCTGACAAGATTAAGAGTCATGAAAATGTTTTGGAGAAGAGATAAAGCAGTTCTTCATAAAAAAACTGAAGACTGAAACATTAGGTCACATGGTGTTATGGGAACAGGTCAATCAAACACTGTCTGTGAGCAAGGTCTTTATTGTCTGAAAGGAGTTTCAGAAGAAACCTGTCTTTGATGACGATAGAGACATTCTGAAACCCACCTCAGTTGTCTTCTTTTATAGTGCTTCTCTGACCTGGATATTCTACTGGTTTTTCTTTTAAAATTGAAAAAAGTAAGACAATAACTAAAGAAACATAAAAGAAGTATTACGTTTAAGTTGTATGACTACATTTTCTGACATGGCTAGAACTAACCTGCTCAGATGAATAAAGTAAGGGTTTGATACTCAGATTTCTGAAGATTTGTAACTAGTATAAGTGCATCAAGACTTTTTCCTGAAAATTCTAGATCAGTTGGAAATGAAGAAAGATCTGCTGTGATTATCATCCATGTAAGGTTTCTCACGACTTGCATCTAAACAATGTGGCAGAAAGGCAGAAAACCAGCAACCTACAAGTTGTGGAAGCACGGTATATGCTTATTCACTTTTTGCACACAGAGGTGCATTTCACTTTGATATACAATACAGGTGCTAGCACACCAAAGTTGTCTGTTTTCTCACCTTACTTAGGAACATGTGGTATCTCTGCATTTTTAACAAAGCAATCAAAACATTTGTCTTTTTCAGCTTGAAGAATTTCTTCAGATTTTTCCAATACTGTTAAGTTTCTTTTACACAATCCTTTTAATTGATAACTCTTACTTTAGACTTCCTTGAAAATCCTCCATATAAGTAACACTTGTACACCTGGCAAACTATATGAAAAAATCTAATTGAGGAACTTCCCAGGGCAAAGGCATACAATTAAAGAAAATAACATGGTAAGAATTAAAGTGAAATACTAGATTAAAATATTTGATTTGATAATAATTACAAAGTATCTAGTATCCTTATGATGTTGATAGTCCCAAAAATGGATCAAAGAAGATGACACGATGATGCATGACAAAGTGATAGGAGATTCTGAAACCTGTCAATGCTCTCCATTGAGTCAGAGCTCGAAAGAAAACATTTTTGAAGGAGAAAGATTATGCAGAGTTGGTTCCATGTTTGAGAGGATGAGTAGGAAACAAGGAGGAGAGGGCACAAGACAGAAAAATTGAGAACTGGAAATAAAGACTCCAGAATCCAAGTTAAAGTTCATACTGTTAAAGTCAGAATGGAGCACTATTGGCAATGTTTGTATCCCTGATTTATTTTTTTCCCTGTAGTTGGGCATGCAATATTTTACACGTGGTTTGCATGTAGATAGGCATATCAGCTCCAGTTCTAATCTGTCATATTTTGATGCACATCTGTACATAGATACTCTTATTTTAAGAATACCATTTTAAAACCAAAGACACAGGTTAAATTCAATTGAAGTATTTTTATTTTTATATATACGTATTAAAGTAAAATAAACTGATTCCATATTTTTGAGGTGTGATTAGCACAACTGACATCTATAAAATACAGTATGTAAAAAACTTTAATTGTAATTAAAAGTTCTTTGGCCTCTACATTTCAATAAAATACTCAATCATAATTAAACCCAAGGGCAATTGTCATTTTTCCTTTGCAAAACGATGACTAAGAGTGAAAGAACTTTTCATTGTTTGTCCAATTAATCACTGGTCATTCACACTATCATGAAATCTTAAAGCTGGCACAAAGGGTTTGAAATTGAGTTGGCTGTATGAGTTAACAACTCAGTTGAGCGTTTTAGAAGAAGTTAGAGCAACCAGGCCCACACAGAACAGAGAGGAAACTTGAATCTGGCAGTAGCATCACCGTTTCTAATGTCAGAGCACCAGGCTTGGAGACAGGATGGGCCAGAGGGCTATGGCTACCAAGTAAGAGACAAACATTATCACAGATAGCATATGCAAAGAAGATGTTTATTAAAATTCCATAAAACCAAATAGATGAAAATAGTCTCTGCTGGATGCAGAAAGCAGTGATGAAGAAGAGACAAGAAGGAAGACGGACACCATTCAGCACATAATTGAGCCTTTGCAGGAAGAATAATAGGAGCCTTTGGCTTCTTTGCCACCATGCTTCTCTCCTTCCCTCCCTTGATGTAGATGCATCCATCTTCTCTTGAAACCCAGTCAGAAACACAAAGGAAACAAACCTTCCCAGATTCCTAGCAAAGAAGATTCTACATTAAGGTCCTACTGCCATCTGCTTATCTGAACAGGAAAGCACGTCCTCCATAAGAGGCAAGGCTGTAAACATCTTTCAGATAAGACAGTAACTGAGGAATAAGAGGAACTTCACCAGAGCAAACCCAGAGTGAAAGCAGACGAGATACTGACCAGTTCCTGAGTCAGCGGTATACTCCTCAAAAGCCCATAATCCCTAAGACTGATGAATGCTGCTCTAGGTTAAAGGCAACAGCATGCACAATTTGCTACAGCACAAAGATTTTGATTAGAAAAAGAAACAAAACCAGAAATACAAATATTTCTCCATGAAAGACCTTGCACATTGACTACTTTTGACACTTGGAACATATTCAACCAGTTGACTCCTCCTATGTACCGTGCTCTAAGGTAAGTAGCTTGGTCTAATCTGCCTCCCCCTCCCCTTGCAGCTGATGAACCTTAAAGGGAGGCAATACTTTCCAAGACGAATCAAACAAAGCATTCTTCTGGCATTTGCTGTATGAGAAACAGTGGTACTTCAGGCTTAATTTAAGTGGAATGCTTTTTGACCTTAATTATTCAGATACTTTGATCTTATTGTATCTTCCTAGTAAAGCCATAATTTCAGGTGTGCAGGCAGATGACCGTGATTTGGGTAGGTCTTCAGAGAGCTGAATTCTTTAGAGAAGTTCACAAAAGTGGATCAGATTTCTAAAAGCCACTCTGCAGGCTTGGCCATTTCCTTCTGTGACCTGTGTGGTAGGCTTAATCTTCTCTGACACCAGTCACTTAAAATATGGGCATGCAGTCTTAGCCTGTCATGCAAGTTCCCCCTCAAGTCAAAATATAAAAATGGTCACCTCCAGGTAGCAGCTCAACGTCTGTCTCCTAAAAGAGGCACCCTGGAGACGCTGCTCCTTCCATTAGCTAGAGAGGGAATCCAGACAACAGAATAAACACTTAAGCTGGAGGGAATGGACACCACACTCACAGCCCCTAAACTACAGTGCTTCAAAAGCTCTGTCTGCTATGCTATGCTTATCCAGGAGCTGAGTTCCTCCAGAAGCCACGTCCTGGCTGCAGTAACAGCCAAGAATATGCATGGTGGGGTCACTGATCTTTGGTACATGTTCTCTCACAGAGCCACTCGCAAGTTTTGTGCCAGTCTTTACCATCTTTACTAGCATTAATGACAGACAACACAAAGTACTTCGCCAAGAATGTTTTGTTACTCACTAAGACCATCTTACTTACTGTTATGACATGGTTTACTGGTGGGAAGGGGCTGCCCTTGGATGAAGCTTCAGCAGGACCAGCATCAAGGGTGTCGGGTTCTGAAACGAGGGATGCCTTTAAAAACAAAGCAGCAGAAATGCATATTTTTATTCTGAATGCTTTTTAAGAAGAGCAATTCCTTCCCTCTCAGGTTAGTATACAAATGCCTGGCCCTATCGTTACATATGGTTGCATAAGGAAAGCAAATAAAATTACAATTCTTGCCATTCCCCATTTTTGATGAACACACTGTACATTTGAACTGTTGAAATGGTCGGTTCAAGAATAACAAGTTGTAACACACAGTATCAAGAGAAAAAAGCTGGTTATTTGTACACAGATTAGTCCTGTGGTCAAAACATTAGGACTCCTATATCACACCTAAATGCATTAATCCCTTCTTATCTCCCACACATACAAAAAGCAGAGATTTTTTTTCCCCTGTATTCTTTAAATAGATGAATGATTCTGCCATCTTGTGGGAGACAGAGAAATCATAACTATTTCTTGGATAACAACAGCCAGGATAGAACAGTATGGAAAAGAAATTTCTTCTCTTTTTAACTTGTTTCACTATTCGTTAAATGAACAGACATTAGTAGCTAGTATATTTCAAATAGCCCCCAAAATAAGAATGAATTATAGCCTCATGGAGAAAACTGAGCAAGGTGGCTGATTTTTAAGATACTGACTTTACCAGAAACTCTGCTCAGAAGTTAAAGGTACAGTAACTAAAAATCCTCATTTTTTTTTTCCCCTGGATGATCTCATAATGTGAAATATGTAAAGAAGTATTTAAATTCTCTCACATCTGTTAAAATACAAGAATTAGATAAGGATTATCCTTTTAAAAATGAAAAAAGGTAAAATGATACAGAATTTTATCAGTAATTAACCTTTTAAAAATGTTAAGCTAACTTCCCTATGGTAGCTTAGGAACACAAGCCCCTATTAAGTCTATAGCATAGTTTTACAAAATTAGTAGACTGATTTATCATTAATTTGTTTGGCTGATAAAGGCTGTATCCTTATTCCTGGCAATTTAACAGATGTACAATATTGCTTGCTGTATCCTACCTTAATTCAACAAGGAGTATGCTGGAGTAAAAACTATTTTAAGTAAGTTATACTTAAGCAAGTATAAATGACAGCTTAAGAGAACAAGAGCTGAAAAAAATTGTGGACAGTTTCACCTCAAAGTAATTTTGCAGAGGCTCTCCTCCCACTCTACCCTTCTCAGCAGGTGGAAACCAAACAGTAGGTCAAAAATGTGTATCACAAGACCGTACATGATCACCTCTGCTCTTGGGAACCTCTGAAGCTAAAGAAAGTGGCTTCTGGTAGGAAAGATGAGGCTTGAGGTGGAGCAGCCTGAGGTACACATTTATCCCTTGGTACTTCGTGCTGCAAGTCTCCATCAGGTGAGTTGCTTTGAGCTCCCAACCAAAAATTATCTCAGAGAAACAAGCTCATTTAGTTTATATTTCTTCGTAACTGCAATGAACTGATATAGTAAATCTAATACAATGTCATAAGAAAGCTTCTTGGATGAAGCACAACTGCATTTGTGCTTACATAACTGCTTACTAAGAACATTATTTTCCTTTACCAACCAGCCATTTAAGCGAACAGCATTTTGTTAAGCACTTTGAACATAAAGATCTGAAAATCAGAATATAATAAGAAGGAATGCAACAATTTAATGTCATTATAATTTCTTTATATGGGGAAGTATCTAAAAAGCTAAGGCAAGCCTAGATCTAGATCTCAAATTCCCCAACCCTGAGTGTTTTCATATAAAGATAACAACAAGAGAACAGACTTCACACTGACAAACAACCCTCCTACCTCTGCCACTTTGTCTCCTGCTTGTACCCCAGCCAAGTCCGCTACACCATCTTTTGGCAGCCGTGCAGTCATGATCCCCTGGTAACACAAAAGACAGGTTTCAGACCTGAGAGGGTTTCTTCCATCTTTCTTAGATGTAAAAAGCAAACGGGAAGTAATTAATTTTCAAGACTTGTTCTGCTGCCTCTATTAAAATAAAAACTGAATGTCTTAGCACATTAGCAAGAAAATAAATCCTCCATGGCTGACACATACAACAATGAACAAAAGTCATTAATTGTTTACACTGTGCCATGGGGGACAGACTGGGAAACAAATATTTATTTAAATGATAATTAAGTGAGAAGACGTGAGAAATACTTCTCTCAAATCAAGTTAGCTCCTGGGAATAAGCAAACGGGATGGGAGAGGCATGTGGATTGCCAAGGGAGTGACCCCAAATTGAGGTAGAAAGTAGAAACTAGCCAACAGCATTTCAGCCATCAGGTTGTCTTTGGAGAATCATTGGTTTACACCAGGTTTTCTCTCCAAAATCATCCCTCCAGGAGCTTCCCCATCAAAATCTACTGCCAGCTTCTACTTTGGGAAATAAGTTACCCATGTTTACTCTTGTTGGTTTTATTACAAAGATAGTGATGTTACATTGAGGACAACCTCACAAAGAAGATAACAAAACAGAACAGCTTCAAAGAACTGCTCATCAGTTTCTTTCTAATGATTACTAGATAATTTTTGAGTAATGAAATGCACCTCATCATTGTCTTTACATGGAGATGAGCCCTTTCCACCAGCAATGCTAATTCCAAGACTCCCCATTTGACTGCACACAGTAATGGTTATCTGGAAAAGAATTATAATGGATAAGTGGCCTGATTAATCAAAACATTTCATAGTAATCACATGAGCAATGAAAATCTACCTCCCACTCAACACCAGCAGATTTTCCCCTATAGAGCTCAGCCCAGAGAAAATTGACACTATGCTTCAACACTGGCACATGCAAGACCAGTCTTTACTCTTCAATATCACCGAGAACGCATTATTTCTCATTTTAGAGTCATGACAAAATCATATAAGGCTGCTGACCAAACCAGTTGTTTGACAAATCCCACTGATTTACTGAGCACTAATGATGGCAACAACACCAGTACACAGACGGAGTGAAAAGTTAAGTACTTTTTGATAAGTTTATGAAAAATTTTGCAGTAATTTTCTTTTCTTTAAACAGGCTTTCTGTTTGTGTATGTGTTAACTCTATCAAGTACTCTAAACATTGACTTAAAAGTAAACATATAAGGAAGCTTTTAAAAAAGCAGTATAAATTGTAACCTACCTAGTCTATTCTCCTCCTGCTAGTACCAGCAAAAATTTAGTACAAAAACTTACATAAGATTTTGAATTTACAGAATTCACAACAAAGGCCAAATAAAACTAGTTTCAAGTTCCAAAGACAGCTTACATTTAAAAATTATTTCCCCCAGTTGTTGATGTGGGTTTTTTTCTTTAGTATATATTATGCTTGGTAGTAAATAATAATTTGCTAATTGCTAAAACAACAATCACATTAAATTTAAAGAACACCTTACCATAGTGTAGTGGAATCTGAATGCAAATTGCATTTCAACTTATCACATTAGCAAAATGCTCTTATTTTCATTGATTTGCTTCATATTTCTAAGACAATTCAGGCTTGAATAACTTGTTATATCTTATAATTAAGAATATTTCCACACAGCTGCTTTTTGAAATTTAACAAATGTATGCAGTTACTCTTGCATGTATAACATACTCATCTGAAATTCCTAATTGCTAAAAAGGTACGAAAATACCCTGCCAGTCAAACAAAAAACACTCTGTCAAATATTGCTCAGACTCAGCATTACCCGCATGCTTGAGGCTTCACAAGCCCGTGACTACAAGCAGTGCTTTGGTGACAGGTCCCAGCACAAGTGCCACACTGGGTGAGCTGCCTTTCCTGGTGCTGCATCCCAATTCTGCATCTCCCACCCCATCCGTGGCCAGCAGAGGTGTGATCTGTACTTGGCCACACCTGGGAGCCAACCCATAAAGCACGTTTCCTCCTCATGTCCTCCAAAGCACGCTGAGATGGGCTATATCCATTGAGTTCAGCATATAGCTTTCTCCATAAATTTCAAACCAAATCTTGCAGTTCTCACTGATACATTTTCACTTGAACATTCCCATCCTTTTTCTCATGCCGTGAGGGTAAGGCCATGCCACTACTCCTAAACAATGAACTAAATGAAGACTTAGCTGAGTGCCCACCTGCACACACCCTTGGCTTGACCTTACAATACCAAAGCTGGATATATAAAAATGAAACAGCATCAAATGGCTACAAAGAAAGTATTTATTTTTGATTGAAAAATGGAAGCAAGGACAAACCTGAGCTCACACTCTGTGAAAAGTAAGTCTCACAACATCTACCATGCAATGTCCCACCTTCTTTGCATCATTTATAAACTGCCTCGCACAAGCATCAGGCTTCCCCGTGGACACACAGAATTCCCCGTGGACACACGAAGCCGCGCCATTGGTGAGCCCAGCCCGTGCAGCAGTTCAATACCTTCAGTGGGGGCTGCGGCACATCCACTGCTCTCAATTCCTCTGGGATCCAGCCACTCCCACCAGGAAAGCTGCTTGCTGCTGAGACGGGGGACAGCACCTTAGTGTTAGTCCCTGGAAGCATCTTCCCTTTCATTGCTGACTTGTGTTTTTCTTGAAGAGCTGTTCTGGTATTTCTTTGATCTCTCATGCTATCGTCAGTATCAAAAAGGCTGCCGGAAAACTTAGAAATAGGTTCCTGGGGGTTAAAGATAAAAAAGGTAAACACAGGGACAGCAAGGAGAATATCTATCTGATACCCAGACCCTACTTGTGGTAAATCGGATTTCTTCCTCTTTATCACATTGCTGTACATTAGGATTTGTTTCACTGAAGTCAAAACACAACTTTAAAGCAAATGTACAAGTACGTTTCTTTTAGCATTATTTCTCTAGGCATGGTTTTCCCTCAAAAGGGTGTAGAAATTGTTGGGACAGGGAGAGAACTGGGATTCATACAGCCTTTCTCTAGATCCCCTGGCACACACAAGCACATATAATACACACATATCCAACTAAATCCTGCAATGCCCTATGAAAAGGATGGAGCATGAGAACAAGACTGTTTTGGGCAGCCTCTGGCATCTCAGTAGCACTGAATCCACTGTCCTAGGGCAAGGAACCACACACATGAGGCAAAGCAAAGGGGTTTTCCTACAGAAAACAGAACATTTCTCAGAGTTCCTCAAGGCTCATGTTCTATTTCTTGGAGCACAGGCGCGAGACGGAAGGCAAGCCCCTATCTTGCATCTATGTCTCTAATATAAGATTTTGTTTAATTGGATTGACTTTATTTAGCTGCAAATGGCAGTGAGTGGAGAGCTGCAACCTTAGTAATTTAGGGGTCCACTGGAAGTGGAATGGCTTGAAAAGAGAAATACACAATTAAAACACATCCACCAAACAATTAAAGCTTCAGACAAGTTTGATTGCAAAACACAATGACGTTTTCCAGTTATCAGTTTTGCTTGGCAAAGTGGTTAAATGAAATTTAGCCATGATGTCCAAATTCTGGTCACATTTTACGAATGCATTATTTATATTAAGCTGATTTTTGCTCCTTAATATGATGGGTAAAGTTGAATCAGATCTTTGTATTACCATAATACTTGTATCTTCTGTTGGGAGTAAAATGATGAAGCAAACCTTTGAAAATTAACCCCATAAACATCTTCCTAAGCTTGGAAGTTTAAAACTAGAAATAAAAAGCAGTGGCATTACCATGAACAGCTGTGCAGAAACCCCACTGGATACTTTCTTTTTCAATCTGAATCGGAGCTTTCCCACAATTTGTTTTTGGTTGGGATCTAAAGAAGCATCACCAACCCCAGGGAGAGCAAGCAAGGCACGATTGCTTCCTATTTTCACTTAAAATTAAAAGGGAATTTGTTCAGCTTTAACTCACATAAAACATTATCTTTCTTCTCTTGAGAGAGATTCCTCTTCAACAGTGCCGAGCTGACTAATCTGGACCCATCAGCAGCGCTGTGGTCCGGGGAGAAAGGCCAGGAGCAAGAGCTGGGAGTGGGGGCTGGAGGAGGGGGCACACCAGCAGCAGTCAGGGGCTAGGAAGGGAGCAGAAGTCCTGGCAGAGGAGCAGGAGCCCAAATTCCTTCAACTCCCAGCAAACATCTGGAGGAAAGACTGGTGAGCAATGCCCTGAAAGGGAAAGGCTGCAAGAGTGCAATCAAAACCTCCTTTTCCCAAGCTACAACCGAGAAGTCAGCCAAGCTACCATCCAGGTGACAGAGATCTGGTGGGCACAAGCGAGAGAAACCACAGCATCCAGGGTTTCCCCAGACCTCAGCATCCTGGAAGAGCACTACTCAAAACTAAACATGCAGTGGAGTAGCACTGCAACCTCACTTTTCTACCATCCAGTCCTTGGCAGACATTGAGCTTCAAGCACTGCTAACAAACTGCTTACCTGAAAGAGATGGAGGGATGTTGGTAACTGGGGATGTAAGTAGAAGCATAATACCAAACATTCGTATCTCATCATTGCTTAGGTTATTACTCATCTTAACCTGCAAGTTGCACTGTGCTCTTGGAGGTTGGGTAGATTGTGTAATTGCAAGCAAAGTAAAGGAATAAAACATTGAACATGATTCTGTTCCCTCCGCACAAGCCAAATCAAAGTGCTCAGCAGCACAGCACTGTAAGCGAACTATAGTTTCCTGACAGACACAACATTGTCCCTCCTGACTTCAGGAAGACTACCTACGTCATCAGGATCCTCCAGTTCCTCCGCTTCTTGCTCGGGACTGATCCTTCCTTCCCTCCATTTCCCATTGGCAGAGCTGAATTTGTACAGGTTACCACCATGAAAACTTTCCTTTCCTTTCAACGATGCCCAGCGAGAGCCCTGGGAGCTCCAGTTATGGCCACTGTACAGCTTAGGAGACTTGGGAAGCCACTTAATAGAGTCCTGAGAGGAAGATGACAAAAAAAAAAAACCCCGCGATGAATAGATTTTAAGAAAGTGACTGAATTATGTACATGCAGAAATTGTCTCGCAAGTTCTGCAAGGTATTTTAGTATCTTGTAAATGCTGGGTTTCCCCTTTTTACCTTGAGAGGTACCTTCAGTCCCACAGAGACACTTTGGGCAATACTGGCGATAGAAACAGCAAGCGAAGGCTGCTGAAATTAGTGGAACCCTTCAGTGACTTACATGACTGTGGAACCAAGCCCACCTTCAGCATCGTAAAGAAGAATTAATGATCAACAACAGTCTTCAATAATGTTATACTCTGTACTATTAGAAAAACAAACAAGAGTACTTAGACCTTTAGTGACCATCTCATCTCATGACCTCAGTTAAAAAAAAAAGTATCAAGTCAACACCCTCTCTTCATTATTCATTAAAACAAATGTTCCATTTGTTGAATGGTCTCAATAAAGTACAATACTATAATGACCTTTTAAGGTTTGCTGATTTTCAAAGTGGTTACATTCCAGTTTTCCCAAAATGTCCACTACTCATTTACATCCAAAAAACTCCACCTCTCTTCTTCGTACACAGAAGTTCATACATGACAAGTTATGTCAAGGTTGCCTATACACCTTAATTTCACTGAACTTCAGCAGTCATTTTTCAAAGTAACCTTTATCTTCTTTTAAGCTTTATTTTAATGTTGCCTTTAAATATTCTTTGGTGATACAAATCCAATGGCAGAAAGCAGCCTGACATCATATAAATAGATACATCAACGGACATGCTCCAACGAGGCAAAGAGAAAGAGAACACAAACTAACAGAAAAAATTGTCAAAGAGCTTACAGCGGGGCAATCAACACGTTCACATTGTTTAAGCAGGTGTTTGATTCAGATTTAACAATTCATTAACCTTCACTGTTAAACCTTCCTTTTTAATGCAGAATGGTGATGTTCACACACACAGATTTCTTGCTGTTATCAGCACCCCAGATGTTACCATTTCTATAAAACTAAGGTTAAGAAAGAAAAGGAGGTAGGACAAGGCTGTCCATACTGGACATACTGATTCATCTTCACCTGCCAAAGGATTCTTCATTTGCTTTTGGTTTTTGATGGCTGAAAAGACTAGGAAACGGACAATATCTCAGCATCTCTTTGGAAAAGACTGTAGACCTTTCTGTGAGTCTTGAAAAGATCATAGCCCCATCAACGGATTATTTGCATTGTACATAGAAGGCATGATTGGTCTCTATAAGAAGTTTGCTGTTAAAACACACCAACACTCAGTGACACCACTGTTTGCTGATAAATAGCCCTTATTTCTGGTAATTTTAAACCACATCGCTCAGGACACTTGAGCTGACTGTCGATTTAGTTCATCAGTGAATTGAACACGAAAGCAGCACAAACAATCATGACACAGTAGTGGTTCCCATTCCTTCTGACAATTTAAAACCCAAGGCAGGGTATCTCCTGATATTTCTTTACACTTGCCTTGAATAAGGAAACACAGGGTATCCTTAAATAGAAGCTTTGTTTCCTATGAATATTAACTAGGTGGATAGCTATTCTAATCAGACAGGTAAATAGCATAGTAGCTGAAATTGTTTGCTATTGCTTTGGTCTGTTTTATTTCAGAACAGCTAATGTGACACCTCTCAATGTCCAGGGTATTTCCAGAGACAGTTTAAATCCTTGTCAACTTTTAAGCTCATTAGGAAGTCATAAAGCAATTTCACTCTAAAAATAAACTCAGGTACAGTGAAGCATTTAACTTCTTCCAAGGGAATGTCTCATCCTTGTTTGACCCCAATTCCTAATCCTAAACAATAGCTTTTCAAACCCAGCCTGCCAAATTCTGTAAGACCAGTAAAAGGCTTTTCTCTCAAGGTTAACAGAGACTTCGAATTAAGCATATGCTGACAATCACTTGACCATCTGAGGCATACATTCAACTGCTGTGGTAGCCTCCTGCACGCACGAGGAGCAAGCTGATGTCCATCAGTAGATTTTACATCCCTATGCCCCTTGCAGTCAAGCTGGGAAGGCAGAGCGGCTAGGCACTCCTGCTCCCTGCCTGTCTTCTACAACAGGATGCTTTTCCTCATGCTGACATACAGCTGTAAGGGAAATTCAGTATCTGCTTCACACCTTCTGTAACCTAAGAGATTTCAGTTTTCAATATTCTTAAATTACAGTACTTTAAAGTAAAATGGAAATAAAAAGACAATTCTGGGTAAGAGCTGTTCACATTTTCACTGGGGCTATACAATACCGTGGGTCCCATTATCTTTATGAAAGCAATGCCACAGTTTGGTTACATCAATGGCAAAAGATTGAATGGAACAGCCAGAAGCACCTCTTGGCCTACATTTGCATGTACCTGTGGTAAGCAAAACACCCCATGGATTATGCTTTTGTGAAATAAAATGGAGAAACAAAACCAATGAATGCTGCTGCTGCGAGCATAGACTAACATTACTTTGAAAACAAATCTTAATCATTTTTTACAACTCGATCCTTTTTGATGAAAGGAGGAGGAGATGGAAATAAGAAGACAGTGGATTTTTAATCCAGAGTTCAGTAGCAATATAAGGTGAGGAACACAGAATGCCAGAGATGCTGTTGCTGGACCCACTGACTACCAGGGTGTTATTGTGCCCGGCTCTTCGCACCCTTTTGGACAAAGTCAAGAGTAGCCAAGGTGCTACCCAATGCTGTGAGTTCTTAGTGAGGCCAGTCACATATAGAGTTTGATACAAGGAAGAGTCGGAAGGTAAAGCTCTGCTTGCTGTGGTTTAATACAAAGCAACCACTCAATCTGATTTTTTTACTGGATTTTGTTTTCCCTCCCACAAATAAACCCAGCTCCTTACTCCGATGTATTTATGAAAATTGCATTAGATGGATAATAAGCTTCCCTCACCCCTCAGGGTGGAAATTGCTACAGTTCAGCTAACAGATAGTAATTTGTACTCCAAACATAAAGCTATCTTAAAAAAAACTTCCAGTAACTTATTAGCTCATTCTCATTATATTAAATTCTATAGGACCATGCTTTGAGACAAGAGAGGCTACTGGCAAATATCTTATTATTGAGAGAGAAAAATCAGTTCTCATTACAGAATTTTACACATGATAATGGGTCTTCTTACTACCCAGGTAAGGTAGGAAGTTTCTTCTTGTGTTTTATACATAAAGAAGCAGAGAACAAAAAAGATTAAAAAGGTCAATGTTTTAAGTCATAGTAAACACAGTGAGGCATGTAGATTTACATTTCCTTAAAAGTATTTGGAATAAAACAAAGCAAGAAGGTGAATGCAGTGTTTAGGACTTCAAGCTTCATGGGTATTTGGAGTACGTAACACTGATGCTTTGTAAATACAGAAGTGTCGGGAGGGAAAAACTATTTATCAGCCTCAGCAGTTGTTATGTTCCATGGAAACACATTTTTCGTCTCCCTTCATTGGTAATGATCCTAACTGACTGATAACAGATCATTTTCCTTCAGTATTTCACCAGCAAGTCAGGTGGGCTCCCTTTTTACCTCCTTTTAATATTTTTTTCATGTTTTCAAAGGCGGTCTCTTCAGAACATAAATACGCCTCTGTATCATACCCCTCAACATTGAGAGGACAAATTGTTCTCATAAAGTACAAGGTGTCTATTCTGATAAGATCTCACTAATAAATCCTCTAGAGAATGAATTTCCTCCAGGCAACAATGGTGCGCAAATGCTATGTATCACTCAAAATCATTCTGGCAAATCAAAAACAATCCAAAACACCCTAACAATAAAAGCCAAGACATGTAAACCACCCACATTTCTGAAGTACCATACTGAAACCACTCAGTGACAATGAAACACCCTGCTTATGGCAACAACCTGGTCACCACTTGCACGTAGAAGCCACTGCTTTCAGTCACCTAGAATATTTCAATGGTAATGCACCTGCTACTATAATTCAACTCAAAACCCCAAACACACATTCTCGCCTACTTTTCTATTTTTAAAAAAATTAAATAACTTGATTAGTAAATACAGGAAAGACAATGTCTTTAAAGATGTATTTCCCAGAACATAAACACTCTTTTAAGTATAACTATACATAGAATATTCTAACTGAAAACCATTTCAGACTCATTCCCTTTTAAAGTACAAAAGGCTGTCTCTAAAAGAGCTTTGTGCAATTCACATTAAATAAGAATGAAGCTAAACAAAATGCTGCCGAAACAAAGGCATATCCCTGAATACGCTTTCACCATGGAGCAGGCAACATAAAAGCTTCCTGAACAGATTATCAAAGCAAGCCTTCCACAGGGAAACTTTGCTAGCGGTAAATAACTTAATTTTAAACTTAGACATTCAACTAGCCAGATAAGATTTTTGAATTACCTGAAGACACCATTTTAAAAAAATTAAACTGCTGTAGGTTATCCTAAAAACATCCACTATGCAAATGTTCTTAAGACTTGCAGTTTTCTCCCCTTTTGAATGGGAAAAAAAAAAAAAATCATCAATACTCAAATAAATCCCTCTTTTTGTTAGTTAGTTTAGATTCTGTTTTGGTTTTAAGTTGCTAGAAGTCCATGATGTCATTAGCAAACTATAGAGAAACCCACTCACATTTATAATCATGGAGTGCCCTGTTTAATCTTCCAGAAATATAGGACAATCTTATCTGCTACGAGCTACTTCAAAACAATTTGGTTTGGCGTTTAAAAATGGCATGTTATTGGGAACGACTAGAGAGAATCAAAGTGGTTTCATCACGAGCATAGTCCAATAAATTGCTTGAGTGTGCCTCAGGACCAAAAGATAGTTTTAGTCCAACACAAAACTAACTTTGAAGAGTGAAGCTCTGTCTCTGCATTGTTCTGGGGATGCTTGCAAACTGAAATTCAAGCTGCTGATGCTTTGGCGGTATTTGCAAGTTGTGTGCGCATCCATGGATTTTGAGGAAAATTACCACAGTCTGCACTTGTCGAACATTTTGGGTATGGCTTTAACTGTGCCTCCAGCTGCACATCTAGAGGTTTTGGTCAACATTCTCCAGCAACAGATGAGCACAAAGACAAAAAGTGTCAAAGGTTATTGGACACCAGGCATCAACTTCCCAGTATTAACACCAAGAGAGATTTGCCAAATCCCTTCTCTGAAACATCAATGAGGAGCCACAGAGTCCTTCCCATGGACAATATTGATGCTGTACTTTTCAGAAGAGGACCTCTCCTATATAAACAGAAGCTAATTCTCAAGATCTCAGTGTTAGCAGACTAACACCATCAGTGTTAAGAGGCACACCCTGAACAAGTTACAAATTCAAACCCTGACTGCCATGAACCGTTGCTCCTGAAGTCAGTACAAGGTACAGTCCAGCCACACGCACCAAGCCCCTCAAAGCCCTCTGCTCTGGCACAGCCCAAGACTGGCTGTCCTGTTACCACAAGAACCATACAAGAGGCAATAAAATGTATAGTCTCTCCAACATCCACCAGAAGAGGAGATAAGATGGGTCCTGCAAGGCAGCTCACAAAGCTGTCCTCAACCCAGGTATCTGCTTTTCCACTGTGAAAAATCTCATTTTATTAAGCTGGTTGAATACTGGTTATGTTCCTGACTTCAGAATGAAAGCGGAAGGCTCTGCCCCTCCGGTTCACAATTGGTTCAGGAGGAAGGGAACACCCCAAATATTTATTGATAGTTAAGAACGGTCCGCTTTTCACATCTTCTTTGACAGCAAACCTAAGCACTCAAACAGATTTGTGTGTTTGATGGAAACTGAAGATGGGAAACACTCTTATCAAATCAACTGAAAAATTAAAGTAATTTTATTTTGCAGAGTCAAGGCAAATAATGGCAGTGAATTCTCCATTAACAAAATGTCCAGACATTTCTGATATCTGGTATGCTCCAGTCTCAGTGGGAGGTAGACTTTACAGTCAGCCAGGCTAGGATCAACTGATATAATTTTTAAACTAAAAAAATTAAATTCCTCTTGTCACTACTCTCCTCTCAAAAGCTGAATTTGTGAGCAGCAGTAGTGAAACCTGTTAAGTAGCTAATCAGCTAAAAACGGTTCACCCAGCACTAGTAAAGCACTAACATTAGACAAGAAGATCAGCTTGTCCAGGACACAAACAAGTCATTTGCTGGAAAGGACAGTGGTATGCAAGTTTCCAGTAATCACTTTCCCACAGTATGCTGATTATAAAAATATTGCATGTAAACCAGAAAAATAATTCTGACACATAAATTATATGGAAGCTGTGGAAAAATCCTGGAGTAACACACAGGGGATGGAAAAATCTGTTGCTACACTAACTACATTAACTGGTACCAAGAGAGTGGTGGGTTTGGGTTTTTTTCCTACTTTTGTAATACTATGGAATTATGACTTTCAATAAAGAGAACTTGCATGCAGTAACTGACAGGTTAATATTAAATCCACTCTACCACTATAGTCAATTGCTTTTCCCTTGTTACCTGTTTAGCCAACAAAGCGGTGTGCAAATTTTGTAGTGTTTCTTTCTTTGCACTAGACCCACCCCCCAAAAGACTTTCAAAGCAATTGAAAAAGTAGAAAAAAGTTTAGAGAGGAAAAAAACCCCTAAAGTTATGTTTACAAAATTATATTTACTGCTCAGGTGCCTCAAAGCATTAGCAAGAGAAAAGAGCCAAACAGAGACCAGGAAGGAAGGGCTCACGCTTTCAAGGACACACACTAACATCATCAGCTTTTTCTGGCTATAAAATACAGTTAAAACTGTCTGGAACCTTACTGACACTGTTGAAGGACAAGCATACCTAAAGCACTTTATCAAATGGCACACGTACGGACTGTCTGAGAGAGCAGATGCTAAAAACAAACCAAACCACAGCCTCCAAATGAAACACTTGTCATCACAGAGCACAGAGTCTTGCTGCCTTTGGCTTTGGTCTGTCTTTTTTAGGAATTCATTTTCATCTCAAATGGGTTTGCCAAGGTTTACTTGGACTCTGGTTACAGAGTTTCCTACACTTTTAAACTTTTGTTGTGTCAATCCCAGTAAGTACTTTAAAAAGAAAATTCTGCCCAAGGTTGGAGTCAACTGTACCAAAACCTCATTTTCTTTCTGGTTTTATTTTAATAGCAGCTTACCGAGGACAACTGGCAGAACTCTGCCTTGGGAAAACTGAAATTGCACTACCCATGAACTAACTTAACACCTATCAACCTGCAGCACCTCCTGCAAAGAGAGGTGCATTGAGGCTTAAATGAGGAATCTCTGGGATGAGAAGAAAACATAAAAATTAATGAACTTTGCAACTTAGATTTGAGTATTTGTAGATGGCTTGCAATACCTACTTGTTCAATATCAAAAAGAAAGCAGTGCCTTTTGTAAAAGCTTCAAATCAAAAAGCTGAATTACAAAAATTATGAAACACTGCAGTTATTAATTTTAACACAGAAGTTATTATGACTTCCCTGATCTCCACCTTTCCCATCTTCTCCCAAAAACCCTCATACAAGCAACGCTTACTGGAAGAAGTGTTCAGCAGAAGAAGGGACATGGTTAGCCATACATGAAGTATTGGGTCTTTCATTTTTTTTTAAATTTGGGTTCACTGCTGAATATGTCAAATCTTTGCTCTCAACTCAGATCGCTCAAGTCCCTGCACTGAACACGTTTGTGGCACATACAGAACCCAGAGACACCAAAATCAATCTTTTATGAGCCTTTTGCAAAATTGTTATTTATTGAATTCAACTCTGTTAATACTTACCTTTATAAACAAACCAGAACCCACAGATTTAATAAGACCTTGAAATCAGCATTGGATCACTGGAAGTGCAACACAGTAACAATGATCGTAAATTTGAGTATTCATTCATACATACTTTAATTGCTACTTTAATGATACAATAAATCTACTGAGCTTTTCAAGATTTTTTTTTATTATTGTTATGGTTTTATATATTTATATAAAACCAAAGCACTTTAAAGAATCATGCTTTCTTGTGTAATACATAAAACTAGTTTCATACTGTGCTTCTGAAAGTCTATCGTGCTCTTTTTCAAGTTATTTTACAGATGGCACATTTAAAAAAAAAACAAAAACCAATGGAAGCATGAATTTCTAGTGACTGCAATGCAACACGGCATCCAAAACAAGATGTTTCATTACAACTAAGTTAAAGTGTGAGTGCATCATGTAATAAACAAATAGCAGTTTGGTCATTTTAATCTTAATTCTGTTTACAACAAAGTAACATTTGTGCTTCACGACCTAAAATCCCATGATATAAACATAAGTTCTCTGCTGTAAAAATCCCAACAAATTACTGTCCAAAAAGAAAAACATACCTAAAACAGGAGACCAAGTTTAAATCTACTCACTTTCCTCAAGAATCGCTATATTTAAGACTAATATGACATACATGACACAATAAGGCACAATGGGTGGTACAAATGAATGAATACAGTTGTCCATGAAACTTGTTCTCTTCCACAAATACTAAAATATGTACCGCTCAAGATAAATTTTCTCTTAAAAATGAAATACATCATTTTGTTATGAAAGTCCTATACAAAAATTTAAAATTTACACCATCTGAGCTGCCAAAAAAATAAAAAAGTGTATCAATTTTCCACAAAACTATATTTCTCACCAGCACATCCAGCCACTGGGAAAAAGATATCCCAGCACTCTGGAAAAGAAAAGCATTATTTCCCCTGTGTTTAAGACAAAAATATTGTATTCTGCATACAGTAGTGTAATATACTTAAAAAAGCCTAGAACTATTAAAATTACAATATTGATTTGGAAATTATTGGTTCACTGCCTGGATGAAATAAGGCACTTTCTTCCAGTGGGCAGCACTTTTCACATACATGGAGATGATGAATCAGGTTCTGGTTAAAAACAAAAAGGGGCTCAGTGAGGTCCCAGAAGACGACAGGAACATTTCAACAGCAGGGGAAGACACAGGAGGTAAAACCTGGAGATGAAACTCTACACAGAAGTGGTCACTCTGTCAATGGCATTATTGACCTCGTTTTTGTTTGAATCCAGTCCTTTAGCAGCATTCATATCATTCCGTAAATTCTCCACTGTCTTTTTCATGTTCTTTAATTCCCCAGGGTGTGGAGTGGCTCGCCTTAGAAGTGTTCTCTAAAAATAAACAGTGCAATAAGAGGTTTTGCCTTTGTCTTGTTGAAAAACAACATACACTTTCAAGGCTTTAGCATTCACGTACCAAATACTAGGTATCGATTTTTTTCTTTTTTTTTCCCCCCCTTTCCTTTTCAAACTACGATGCTCTATGTTGAACATTATTTTCATAGCTGCTTGTTTATGACGACAGTGAAAGAGGTTTTAAGAACTGTCTAGGAGCAAACTTTTTCCTCCCTTGACTTACTAATCTGAAAGGCACTCAAGTGAAGTACAATTGTAAGTTATGAAGTGAAGATTCTTTCATAAACATAGTTGGGATTTTATTTTTTTCCCCAAAAACCATCCAAGTGATTTCAGATCACATTTCAAACAAAAAACATTCAGCTGGTTTTGAAAGAATCCCACAAGATCTCTTTACAGTGTCAAATACGTGTTTGTGTGGAGCTCTGTATGCCTTCCAGCCCCACCACACAGTTTGGTTCTCTTGTCAATTGAGAACAAGCATCTTGAAAGAAGAGGGAGCATTTCTCTCCCATCTTTGACACAAGAACGTCTAACACCATTGTGCTGAAACCTTTACAAGGAAAAGAAAATTTATGAAAACCCCAGTTACCATCTAGATTAGAGACCAACAGAACACCAAGAATTACTGCACAAATATGTATCAGTATAATACATATACACATGCAATTACTTTTCAGTGGTACACATGTAAACTGTGCAGATTACAGCAGAACTGATGACCCATAACTGGGTGCATTGGTCACGACTGCTTTGGAAATCCAGTCTTCCTCCTCCCCAGTAGGATTCTAAACTTCTTTTTCCCCTAAAAACATTCTTGCCTCAAGTCAGGCTGTAATACTATGACTGAAAGCAGGTATCATTAACACCTGAGCCCTCATTATTGTATGCACATTCTTGGCTTGGCACAGTTTTTATGAAGCATCATTCTGAACTCCCTTATCTATCAGTCTACAAACCACGCTTGTCAGAGACATTCAATTTCTGCTTCTTTGGATTAAGCAACCACCTTACTTGAAAAGTTAAATGTTCATTTCCCTACTAACTAAGAATCTTTATAGTCACTTTTTAAAGAAAGACCATGTTTCTAGCATGCCACAATCTAGACAGTGCCCTGAAGTATCTCAAGCTGAGCTCTAGTGAGGATCACCAGCAAGTTTTTGGAGCACCAGAGAAGCATGCTGAAAATCTGACTGAAGCAGTCTTAATCTTTACAAAGAGTTTTAACTGTTAATAAAAGTCAGTAAAGCTAAAGATCACATCACATTTGGATCTTCAGGACATGCAGAGCCCAATTTAATGGAGAGGTCTTATAAGTACAGTGACAGACAGTCCCACATCCTTTGTTTAAGTGGGAAACTAACAAGCAATATTCTTGCTGTTTATGGACACTATGGTTGTTTCAATGCAAATGGTGGAGGGGAAAAAAAAAGGGGGCAGGGGGGTGGGGGGGAGAGAAATTGGAAACAGAAATTAGAGACACAAACAATGGCAAACTTAATGGAGACACATGCCAGAGTGCTGGAATCCTAAATTAGACCCTATACACTTTCAGGCAGTAAAGCTTCACAGATGCAGAGAAAGATCCTATCTTGTTTCTGGAAAGAAAACATTCTAAGCAGACACAGGAAAACAAAGCAAAACAAAGACTGTCCTGCATCATAACATAAAAGTTATATTCAATGCAGAAAAAATAAATAAAAGACATTTTAAATCAACATGAAAAGTTTCAGCAGTCAACATGAAGCTTCTGCTACAAACATGCGCAAAAAGCATGCAGTCGCAGCTGAAATATTTACAGCAAAAGAGCTCAAGATACTTTTTCACACTTTTGCGTTAGAAGTCAGTGTCTGCAGGTATCCAAAGGCTTGGGAAACATACCATTTCATTCTCCTCTTCATCTTTTTCATCTTCTAAGAAGCGAATTGCACTGACTCTATTCACTGCCCGCTCATTCCATGTTTCATCTGACATTTCATTTACCAAACTCTCCAGTGCACCACATCGTGGTAGGTTATCTGTTAGAATAGCAAAACATAACTGAAGATTCATAGCAAGCCTAAAACATCAACATGCTATATTGCTAATAACGGCAATATCCAACCAATCGCTCATTCAAGATTTACAACTGGCTATTTCTACTTTTCTGATAGAAAACAGAAGTTGCATTCATCTTCTGTTATCAAGTATACACAATAGTTTCTATAAAAATGAGAAATTTCTGTACTTGGACTGTTTCAGGTTTGTGGCAGTACCGATTATATATATAAATTTCATATACTTGCCACTATACATGCCTTTCTTCTGGATCATGGCTGTCATCTGACATTAGCCAGTTCCCTAAATGGCATTCCATAACAGAGTATCATTGCTTTTACTGACCTCATCCTTTTGGTATTGTCAGGCCAATAATCTTAAAACCAAGGCTTCTACCCTTTTAGCCATAAGATTCATCTGGAGATGAGGAAATCTAATTTCTATTACTGAGGCCTTAAGTTACATTTCTTTAACTAGCTTAATCTTCTCTAAACTTAAAGGGGTTAATTCATTTAATTATTTTAATTCTTAGTGCAATTTTTAGTCTTGAAATCCAGAAGATGACACAAAACAGAGCCATTTCTACCCTTCTACTGCTTTAACAGTTTCTATTTGCTCCAGCTGCATAGTATTGAAAGAGTGGAATTCATCTAGGTAAGATTGTGTACCTACAATACAGATACCTACACAGCTGAGCTTTTCTCCTCAGGCCCCCTTTGGACTCAGCGGAGAAGAATGCACATGATTTCTTGGATGGGATAAATTACTCTCCAGTGATTACAGCAAAAGTTTAAATATTAGCTCAGATGAATCCCCTTGAATGTTCACACACAGCCATAAAAGCTCGAGGACAAAAACCATCCAGAAGTTACTGGAGCAGAAACTCAGCCAACAGTGAAAAAGAATTGATGGTTCCACCTGACACAGAGGCAAGTTTCAGCACAAAAGGTAACAGCAACTTATACTGCAATTCTACATTTGTCAAAGAAAATAATAAAGTTACTGTACAGCATCTTTGCTTGAAAGAAAATTACCTTGCTAAAAAGTAAAATGTGTACTGACTATTACTAGCTATACAATTATTTTTCTGGTAAAGAGACTGTAGTTGGAAAGCCACTGATCTGCACTACATATATATGTATTTAAAATGTATAATCAGTGTACACAAATATGGACACCATTAGACCCACTCGCAAGCCTCAGAATAATGATACAATTGAGTCTTCTTTCAGGTGTGTATTTTATTTGTTGTAACTAGTGTCATTGTATTTTCAATAACACTCACAGCCATGTTTTTCAAGCCTTCTGAAAACTAGTATAATTACCAAAAACAAAAAAAAAGGTTTATAAGTGAAAATTCAACCAGATCTTCACTACTTTGCTCATCAAAGCTGATGCATGTTTTACAAACCTTTATGGAACAGACAACACAGTAAACAAAGAAGTATTCTATACGTAATGAAGAACTGCCTGTAGGCACTTACCTTGGCAACCAGGCTCAGAAGGCATTTGAGGAAGTAACACACAAGTTAAAATCTTTTCTCCTGTTTCAGGGTCTGTGTCAGTCTGAAACGTCAGCAAAGGCTGGGACTGGTTATCAGACAACCACAAAGCCTTCAGCTTTAAGGTAGTCAGCGAGAGGGGAAGATACGTCAGCCTAGTTCAAAAAAGAAAAGTACAAAAGTCAGAGCAATCTCTAGGGGATTTAATAGATGGTCATGAAGTCGACTATTAAGTGTATATCCCCGAGTTGGAATAAACAGGATTGAGATTAATGCCTCTAATAGAAGGCGTTGCAGTAGTCATCAACTCCAGCTACTCCATTCTTTTAAAAAGAATCTTCAGCTTAACTTTATACCATAATTCTCTGTAGCTGTGAGCAACAGGTAAAACAATGCTGAGCTTTTTCTACTGAAGTAAAATGCCCTGCAAGGCAGTCAGCTGCTTCTGCTCTGGAGTTATACACAATTACCAGAATAGAAATATGTACGTGTCTATGAGACAACTATATTGCATAGATGAGATGCCATTTGCTTCTCCTCTTTTTTCTTTTTTTCTATTTAACTTCCTACTAAGCAACTGAACTAATTTGCTGGTTTATGCTTCATCCCACTCCTTTTTGCATTTTGATGTCTGAAGCATATGAACTAAGATTCATGAGAAGCCGCAAGGTCAAAGAGGCGTTATTTGTTACTTGCACTGTATCTTTAAAGATACTCGATATTACCTGTTACTTGACACTGACACTGGTAGTTTCAGCTGAAGCTCTAGCAAATTGCCTAGATTCTCCGTTTTAATTCAGAAATATACAAATCCAGAAGGTTTGGGTCTTTTCAAATCATATCTTTTCCTCAGGGTCAAAACAATCCAGAAAACGTACTCATGACAACACACAATTTATGCTAGTTTGGGCCAAGGGGTAAGACCACTTTGACAATTTCAACATTAACACTAACACAAAAGCCGTAACTGGTTTTTCGGTACTTCATTCTTAAGACATAATTATCTTTTGCTGGTAAAAAGAATTAAGCAAATCCAGCAAAAGAATGTGACAATACAAAAATCTCTTACCTGTTGCCAGCAACATCCAGGACATGAAGTTCAGTGGCTTGTGAAATTTCAGAGGGAATTCGAGATAATCTGTTGTCACGTACAGAAAAGACGTTAAGACTGCAGCACCCCCCAATCTATATTAGAGATGAGGAGAAGAGAAAAAAAAAAGAGAAAAAAAAAAAAAAGAGTCTGGTTTCGTTGCAGTACGATAGTATAAACAAAGGCATGCAGTATGGGTCACTTAGTATGTCACAGCACATTCCAGTTATGATGCCTGCCACACACATCACCCAGAGGTACAGACTGCAAACAAGTGTTAGCTTAAAATAAGCCTGACCTGAAGCGAGTCTGTTGGAGCAGTTTCTTGAACATCTGTATCTGCAAATAATGTATATCTTTACAAATAGGTACCTTTTAGAGCCTTCCATGCCAGAAAGAGATCAGTAACCACGCAGATGCCACTTTGTAGATAACCCTCAGAAAAATATTAGCTTTAACTTTCAATTTTTTCCTAGCTCTACGTTTTACATATTAATTCTTTCTTTCCTCATGGTAACTTTAGAGATGCAAGCAAGTGCAGTGGGGCTTTAGGCAAGGCAAAAGCTAAATACACCAATCAACTCCCAATGTTTACTGAGTCCGCAAAGAGTAATGAAGAGTTCACAAAAAGTTAAGACTTCATGAGTAACATCTTTGATGCCCTGTTTTATTTGAAGCATTTAATTTCAAAATGATTCCTACATGAACTGGTCAAATTAATATAATATCCTCTGTCTCTACCAATTTATCCAAATGTAAGCATCTGCATCCCCAAGCTAGTTTTTGGGTGCAAAAGTTTTACGCTTAAAATACCTACATTTTGCACCAAAGGTACATGTTTTCAGAAAAATAAACCCTCTACATTTGATTAAAAAAACCTACATTCCACCTTTTTATTCCAGATGGCAATTACTACTCCTATAAACACCAAGATCATTAGTTTTAACAACTTGAAAGCTGCTTGAAGTAACTCTTTGTTCCTAGTCACAAAGGAAACTTACCTTTGTTTGCTTATCATATGGAGCTTCAAAAAGCACTGTTGTTTGTTTGCCAGTTCCAAAAGTCACCATGAGAAGGGATAAAAAAAATATATGTTTCTGCTCTTACTCCAAGTATTAGAGGCAAATATCCCAATGCTTTTTGAAGCTTTCAAGTTAAGCAGATTTAGAACCTAACTATAGACAGCAAACCTACTGAAAGATATTGGTTCAAAAATTAAAGGACTTCTGTAGTCACACACACGTAAGAAGGTTCTTCTCTCACAATATAGCCAACATGCCACTACACCTTGGTCAGGAGTCCCCAGATCTGAGCTGAAATTATTTATGTGTTCCAGTTAACTGTCAGTTCTGTCTTTGCAAAATCCATAATTCAGTCCAAACCCAAGTTTGAGATTATTGACAAATACCGACAAAAGCTTTTCCATTAGTCAAAGTAAAAATCGTGTTGATTTAACCTACACTATTTACCAAGGAAAAAGCCATTTTTAAAAGGATGCAACTGTGAATTAGAAAGAAAAACAAACAAATGGAGCATTTATACCCCACTCACCTTCCTTTGTAACATAAATACATTTTAATGAAAGAAAGCAGCAATCACCTGCTCAAAGCTTCTGATTCACAAGCTATTTACTGCACAAAGTTACAGCACAACATTCTCTTGACGAAACAAATCTGGGATGGTTTCCCTTCAATTACTGCACTCTAAGATGCAGCTATTTCACAAGAGTATCAGCTTTCCCGGCCCTGCATTTACACTAGGAGCAGCAACTTTGTTAGCTGATTTTTTGAATCAAAGCACTTAGAAACCAGCGCTCAAGTCACGAGCAAACATTTCTTAGTACAATAATTCTGCTATTCCCTTCAAAGCATGTATATATTCTTAAATAATGTGCCTTGACACACTCACAGAATATACTGCCATATAGAAAAAAATAAAATACATATATATATATACACACACACACTAAGTGTCTAATTGGTGTATCTAACATGAGGAGCTGTGAAAAGCAAGAGATTAGTGAATGTTGATGAGCTGGCACGTGATGCCCTAACTGTACACAAAGCGTTCGCTTTTCCACAAATGAAGTTTGCATTATTCAGTCTTGGAGCATGGAGATCCAAACAGTTTAGCCAAAGAAACAAAGTAAAGCCATGCACCCCTGATGAAACCAAAACTTCTATACTTTTGACAATGGAAAAATGCAGCAGTGGAACCAGCCGGCCTGAGTCATCATGCATTTAAAGCAGTTTAATGAAAAGTAACAGTAGAATTGTGGACTGAATAATACTTACAGGGTTATCAATTTACCTGACCCATAATTTTCCAAGCGGCTAACAATTAAGAAAATACAAGAGATGTTCAATTTATTTTTCTTTACCCATACTGGACAAGAGCATGCCAACAAATGGAGACAGAACATACATTCTTCTACTGCCAAAGAGGGTTAGAACTCCTAAGTTATTTTAACTGCAGTAACTTTGCTCTATCTGTCAATAGGCAACTGTTCAAAGGTTTTGTTACATTCAGAGATGGTGAAGACCTTTTTTTAATAGGGTAGCAGGGGGAGATAACAGACAGGTATTGAATTTCTTTATGAAACTGTTTTTAGAAAATGCAGGCAGCATCAGTTGAGATATCACAGAGAAAAAAAGACAAGCTGACAGTTAAAAAAATAAAATATTTTGTCATTTCAAAAAAAGATGGCACCCACTCAGCAGTACAGAAAGACATCAGGTCCAATGCTTGAAAACCTAAACACGAAGCGGTACCACTGAGGCAAAGTGCACACACTAAATGGCATGCTGAAAGGAAAACATCATCGTGATCATCATGAAGTGATACGGTATCAGAACATCGCTGGTTTGGCTGAGGGTCATTAACTGACTAAGAGCCATGCTTTCCAAGGTTTGATCACATGCTTACAACAGACTGCCAAACCACCGCAGAGGCACCAAGTACACAGTTGAGACCACAAGCCCATTTAACAGTTAAGCACACAGTTCATTTTGAGCACAGACTTCAATTAATGGGGACAAGCATGTGCTTAGTTCTAGGCACATGAGTAACTGTTCCAAAGACTGGAGTGGAGGCTTAAAGAAGTCCTCATGTTCTTCTGTAGTGAGCTAGACATCAGGAAAAGGTCTCAAATGAGTTGTGCACGTCTAAGTCATACTCCTGAGATTTCTTTCATTCTAGCAACTTTAAATTAAGGGTTATTCACTTGTCTCATCACACCATCTCCAAAGAACAGTCAGCCTAGATAAAAAGCAAAAACAAAACCACAAAACAAAACCCACACATCAGGCAGGCAGAACACGATCAGTACTATGAAGTGCTAATTTTGAGGTCACTGATTTTACAGTACTGTAAAGTCTGAACAAAACTGTTTATTTGCATTCAGAGGATAAGCATCACTAGGACCCCTCTGGGTTCCACACAAAGCTCTAACCCTATGGAGGATTTTCTTTTTTCCCCTGCTGTTTTCTTCAATCTCAGTCTGAGCCTCATCTTCCCAGCAGCTTTCTTATTCTGGAGAAGCAGTAAGACTTGGGCATACATAGAGAGGATGTCAGCTTGGCTGCTAAAACTCCCCTCTACATTCTCATCATGACCAGCATTCACCACTTTGATCTCCTTCTTTTTTGACATCCACATACCCACTGCCAGTCCATCATAAATAGTCCTCCAGAACTCTAAGTCTTATCACCACTTCTCTGCTGATGTTTTTGATGACACCTCTTCTCTACTCCAGACAAACTGTTGGTTTAGACACCTGCATCAGTTCTACATTTTTCATCACCCGACTTTTACTGCGCTTCTCTGTTACAATAACTTGATGATTGCCATTTGATTTTTTTTACTGATGACATCTCTGCAGCTTTCTGGAGGTAAACCCAAAAAGAGTGTGCAAATTTACCCCTCCCTTACCATTTAGATCCCTCCCAAACCTGCCCACTTGCCCCCTCTCTTGAGCCCAGCTGTCAGTTACAGTCATTCATCACAAAAGACCAAATTTCACTGGTTATGATGGCACATCCTCATCTTGTTGGTGCTCTAGAGCCAAAATACAAATTGAAGGTGGAAAAATTTAGATCTTCAAGTTACACTTGAAGAGTAACATCTTCTGATCTCATCATCTGTTAACTGCTCACAAGCTATGAATCAATTCTGCTGTCCTTTACCAGTTAGCATCTTTCACATAGGTATAATAGTACAATGATTATTTTTAGCATGTGACTAGTTTAAGTCCAGTGACACATCTCTTTTACTCAACTCTCAGTACAGCTGTCAGCATCAAGAACTCTCATTAGGTTTACACGACTCTGATAAATATATTGGGAATTTAAACACCGTTCCTATTGTGTTGTAAAAACCTTTTCCAGGGTGTCATAACCAAAATTTTGTTTGGATTCAAAGTACATAAAGTCAGATTTTCCTTGGCCCCAGATAAAACAGATTAGTTCTTTAATTGCAAGTATCAAATACATTTAGATGTGGAAGAAACTGCCCAATTCACTACTATTAGCTATTATTCCGTTCTTATTAACTCCAAATCATCTAGGAAAAATCTTCAGCAAACTCACTGCAACACCCCCTGCACCATGGGTGAATAATATGGGAGGAGCACAGCAAGAGAGCTTCTTTGCCCTCTGACTCAAGACAAGTTTTCCTATATTTTTCCTTAGTGCCTTTCTTCCCTTTGAGACACCAAAACACATACTTTTACACAAATAAGGGAAGGGGCAGGACATTGGAAGTTAAAATCAGAAATAATAAAATGGCCCCAACTTGTTTAAAAAAAAAAAAAAAAGTAAAAAGAAGTTATTGCCCAAAAAACATCTGCAGTTTTACCTACTGCAGTAATAATTCTCACAATATACCTCAGAGCCAGCAAGGACACATTACCAGATCTTTGCAGGTTGTAGAGACTCATTTACAAAAGCACATGAACTGGAAAACATTCCAAGGAGGTTATTTATGCAAGTGCCAAAATCAACACACCAGTTTCAGCAGCGTTCCAGTGCCAGGGTGGGATTTCAATACCAGAGTCACCAGTCAGGTCTTTCAAGTTTAAGGGGAAAAACATTTGTAACTACGAACAGGTTTAGACATTCTCCGTTCTCGCCGAAGTTTGTTTCGCCACTCAATTCAGTGAGAGAGAGATTAAGCTGCAAGATGAGATACTGTAGATGAAATCTGTCAGTGACTCAAGTCTTGGTCAGACATTGAGCTGTTCCATGTTTTACCTTCTATACCAGCACCAGATATAGAAGAACCTTTGAACCAGGAAACTTTGAAGGAGTATTTGCATACAAGCTCCTCAATAATACCGTCAAGAAATCTTACAGCAAAAGGTAGAGACTGGTTTTACAAGTGTACATCGAAACAATCTAGCAATGTAATGGTTTGACAGGCTGACCCAAAATCCAACCTTAATAAATTGCTATCAAAAAAACCCCAAACCCAACAATCCCAAACAAACCCCAAAACCCACCAAAAAAAACCCCCACACCACCACAAAGAGGCTAGGACTCAGAGATTATCTCACCAGGTTGTATTATAGCAGCACATAATTTCTGCCATCATATCTATAAAAGCTCTCTTTGCCACAGGAAGATTCTGTGGGAAATTCTGGAGGGAAGGACAGCGACACCAGCAAGTAGATTTGATATTGGTTACATGTACTCTTTTCCCTAGTACAGTCCCATTTTTTCTGTACGCATGTTACCAGACCGCATGTCTTTGTCTCTCTCCAGCAGAAACCAGTAAAGGCCTGTCCCGCACCTATTTCTTAGAGGATGAAGACCACAAATGCACACCTGTTCTAGCACTGTGTAAGGCAACGAAAGAATGAGAGAAAGCAGGAAGGAAAAGAGGGGAAGATACCGAGCAAGAATATCTGCAGTGCATACTCTTAACTCTGCACCTGACTTTGCTTCTGTGAAGGAGGAACCAGTGCACAAGTACCAATACTAATTGATGTGCAAAGGTCTGAGACCCCAAACTTCACCATACTATCTCAGGACACATCTTAACACACAGCAGCCAGGGGTGTTGAAACTGACTGCTGTCAGAAGCTCATGCCTGGCTTTAAGTATTAATTAGTCAGTTTAAGATGAGAGCAGATGGAAAAGACAGTATACTTTCTCACTGTCGAGCAGAACCTTCCAACAGACAAAAAAAGGGCGACACATTTTTCATTTTTTCCTTAAGTGCTTTACCAATGCATTTTGTAATTTTTTTTTCCAAGTCAGTAATGATGAGAAGGAAAATGGAAATTGAACAAACTCAGAACTGGGATCTTTGCCATTATCAGCAACCCTGAAGCTGCTCCTGTGGATGCTTTATGTAACAGTAAGCAGCACTTGTTATACCTGTGTACTCTATTGGCGCAGAACATTTTTCTTTTAGAGCTATGAAATGTGACTCTTCACTGAATTCCTCTGAATTTTAACCAGAAAACTTGTACTACAGAAATGTTCATATTTAGTTTAAAGCAAAAAACTACCGGTTAAGTAAAATACTAGAAAAGAAGATGCAGCTCCAGGAACAGATGAAACACGAGCAGAGAGCAATAGACTTCTTTCTGGTTTCGAAATTAGTATTTCAGCATTGTTAGAAGGCAATCTAAAGACTTTGAGGGAAGTGTTTTATTGCACAGCCTAAGCACAAAGAATTGAAACTGAAACTTGAAACACTGAAACTGAAAAGTCTTGTTATCTAGATGGTAGGTTCTGCAATACATGCGTATTAACTGTATTTTTGAGACAAACCATTGCATCAGTTGTTTATGCTTTCTATTTGTTACCACTACCAGCTTGGAATTGAAATCCACCGATCTAGAGGGTGCATGTGACCCGTCAGTTGGAGGAGGACTGACTTCCTTTAAAAATAAAAAATAAAATCATTTTAAAAATCCACAGAGCAAATCATACTTTAATGAAACATTCTGGAAATCTTACATTAAACATAATTTCAAAGTGTTTGATCTAATAAGATACATAGGTGTGGAGACCTTTACAGGAAAAAAAAAACCAAAAAACACCTATTTCAAAGAAATGGATGGCAAGGAGCTCTGTTTCCTCTGTTTCTCTGCCAAGCTCCCTGGGAACCACCGTCTCTAATCTTTATGTCCTGCACTTTCTACAACTCCACAGCTCACCTCATTCCAGGTTCCACCTTCCATTTCCTCATCACCTGCCTTCTCCAAAAACATACGCATCCCTGACTTTATCTCACCCCTTGTGCAGATGTCCCCTCCCTCTCTCTCATGTGCACTAAAGTTCTCCACACATGTTCTTGTTCTTCACTTCAGCCCTGGATATTCCCAATGCCTTCACTGACTGGGCAATGGTTTTCACCTCTAAAACCTGTTTCTTGTTCCAAGTCTCCAGTTTCTTGTTCAGCATTAATCCCTTTATTGTTCTGCACTGAGCCCGTGGCTCTGCTCTTCCCCCCAAACAGACACACTCCGCATTCACCCTGCTTTACCTGCTCCTGAAGCCGACCCTTCTCTCACCTGCTCCTGTCCCTGCTCCTTCCAAGCCACACCACTCACTCTCATGCACCATCTCCAATACCATGAACTTCAATAACTAAGAAAGGTGCTTATACACTACATAAGCTATTAATGGCCAATCTGGAAATAAAATGTATCAGTAAAACCTTATACGCTATAACAAACTCAGAGAAATTCTGCCTAAAGGCAGACTAGACACAAAATTTTATGAGCCTAAAGTACAGATAGCTTAGGACACCTGTGCAACGCATTAAGTTCTTTGTAAAGACATGGAAAGTTTTCTGCTGAAAGATCAAAATTGCCATCACATCCCAACCCAGAAACACAGTTTTCTCAAGGTCCTGACTCTTGCTAGCATTTATGCAACCCATCTGGGTAAGCCCTCTGCAATCTTCTGTTCAGAACCAGCAGCACCTCTGCAGAGGAGACATTGCCCTGCTAGAAGATCTGCAGTACTCACATCTTCTCTTCCCTCCCTCGCCTTGTCCCCCGCCGTGAAACATACAAGCCAATTGACAAAGAAGCAATTAAGGGCTATGGCAGATCCCCAGTTAGGTGACCAACCTGTGGCAGCTCAGAGCTGGGCCACTGGAATTACTGCTGCCAGTACCACAGCAGCATCCTCTGCCCCTGCTCAAACCTCCTCTTCAGACTATCGGGTCTCCCCCATCTCTGGTTCCCAGCCACTTTGCTTCCTCCTCACACCTCCTCCTCGAGCTGTCCAAGCTCCCTAAGTAAGCAGGCCTGAGCACAAGTGTGTGCTCACTAGCCAGAGCTAACAATCCTCTCAATTCCCATCCATCGGCTGCCCTGCTGCTCCTGATGTGACCGAAAGTGGTGAACAAAAGCTATGACCTCTGAGCCACATGTTAGAAACAGACAGGAAAATTAACGGGGAGAACCACTTGGACAGAAATTAGAGAAACAGTAGTGCAAACAGAACCAGCTCGCAGTCCTGTGCTCCAATCACATGATGCCACTTCCCCTGATCTCTTTCCACAATTTACTGCTGAACTGAACTTGTAATGCCTTCGTTATCTTTAGTTTCACAACAGAAATTCTAGCTTCATTTCATTCCATATACTGTTAAAATAGACAAGAAGTCCTAGTGATCATAGGTGTAAGACTTGAGGTATCAGTCATCTTGGTCATGTCTGGTCCTCATATTTAAAGGTAAAAGTAGTCCCGAGATCTCCACCTAAAAGACTGTCAAAAGTGTCTCTGAATCATTTTTTCAGAATATAAAACTTTCTCTTTGCTATTGCTCACAAGAGTAAGGTGAGGAAGACTCCGGCAGTACTTTTATCCTACACACGGAAGAGTTACATTGATGTTTAAATGCATTCACTCTACCACAATTCTCAGTCTTCAAATGGTGCTGGACCTGATACCCACACTGGGAATTACTAATTACAAGCTAATTAGATCCAAGCCTTCATGTTCTACTGCAAAGACATTCTGCACTTCCAAGCCACCAAATCACCACAGCTGCTGTTCAGATCTAACGGATGAGTTTCTGGTTGTGATCAGTTTGGGAAGAACACCCAGTGGATCAAAGCTGCCTGCTACTCCTTGCAGGCCTTCAAAGTCAGGAGTTTTCTGTTTGTATAATCACATCTATGAGAGTTAATTGCACAAAACTCACCTCTCTGGGCAAAGATGTTAATTTGTTTCTATCAGCATTCAAATTGTTCAGCTTCTTTAGTTTTCCGATGCTCTTCGGCAATGACTGTGCCAACAAAAATAAAACATGCAAACAGAATTTGTAAATTCAGAGTCAGAACAAAACTTATCTCACTTTAAAAATTAATTAATAGATCTGATCCATTTTCAAAACTGGAGTGTAGTTAACTGGCCTTGTTACTACCAGGCCTTCCGAAGGAGATTCAGGGTTTTACCTTGCAGAATATATGTCCAGGAATGTCAGTTTCTAATACAAATTCACTCATGAGTTACCTCTGCACTAAGATGATAGATGCCAACAGCTGTGTACAGAAGCACGTATGCAGAATGTCCGTATTATCTAACTTTAGGTTCCCGAAATAGCTAATTGAGAAGCAAGCTTCTAAGGTGCTATAAACTGACCTCTGGAGAGGCATCTTCCCAACAGACTCAAGCTCCTAACTCAACCAAGCACCAGCCTAACTTAAGAAATGCTCAAACCTAGATTTTTATAAACACTTCCACTCTCCAAGTGCCAGTGTCCTGTGAAGGCAATTTCAAAATAATGGAAATAAACACCCAATGGAAGGAAGCCTGAGATTTTATTTTAATTGACCATACGTCATATTTAATACCTGGCTGGATTACATCAGCAGAGCAAGGAACAGTACAACAGCAGCTCTACAGCGCTGAGAGCTTCTATTCAGTTCCAGTTAAGTCTGATCCAACTAATGCACAGCAAAAACCAGCAACAACACAATGCGGCACAAACTCCACAATAAAAACACAACAAAGTAAATGATACCTGTGTTCCAGGTGCTCCGATTCCCTTACTGATCATGAAAGATTCAAGAGTGAATGTGTAATTGCTTAAGCCTTTGGAAGGGAGCATTGTTACTACAGGCAACTTGATCTTCAGTATTCATTTAACAGGTTAGAAGTAAGTTGAATTTAAAGGAAACTCGCTACTTAACACTAGTAACGGTAAGTAACCTTATGAGCAAAGTGATTCAGCACTTAGCAGTAGGTCTCATTACCACCAGCCATTTCAGCAGTCATGACTGTGCCTACCTGCAGCTGGTTTTCTGTTAGAACTAGTTCAGTAAGGCTTTCGCAGTCTCCAATTGAATCCGTTAGTTGAATAAGTTTGTTCTGATCAGCCTTCAAAATGGAGAGCCTTCTCAATTTTCCTGGACAGAGAGAACACCACATTTGTTTAGCTTAGTATCCTCTGATACCTGCTTTAACTACAGAAAATCATTCAGCTGCAAAACTTTTAGAAATCCTCTAACACAATGACTCTTTTTTTCAGATAAAACAAGAATTCAAGCACTCCTTCACTTGGCACTTGCACTATTTTTGCAAGTTTATAACATCACTGAATTCATATTCAATATAAATATTCATATTCAATATTTAAGCATATTAAATTGTATGAAAGTTGAGGTCTGAATGGTATACCACGTAAATGTCAAGGACATGCCTACCCAAAAGTCTTTATAAACAGGAGAAAATTATCTATTTTTTCTTCAATTAAACAATGTTTATTGATAAAGGAGTGTTTAGAAGATCACCTATGCCTACTCAGCCATAGTAAGAAATGCTTATACTGAAGTGACAGCCCAAACTCAACCAGGATCAAGGTCTCTTTGTCTTAATATAAAACCCAGTCAGACAAGAAACCCAAGTTCATTTTTATGAATAGAAATTAAACTTTTTTGAAGGTCTTCTACCCAAGAAGGACAAAATACTATTTCAAAGCAGAAAGCTCACCATGTTCTTCCTTGCATAAGGAACGAAATTTTTATGATGAGGGTGGTAGATCACTGGAACAGGCTGCCCAGAAAAGTGGTAGAAGCTCCATCCCTGGAAACATTCAAGGTCAGGCTGGAAGGGGCTCTGAGCAACCTGATCTAGCTAAAGGTGCCCCTGCTCATTGAAAGGGGCAGGGACGGACACATACACACATGGCAGGGAGTTGGACTAGATGATCTTTAAAGGTCCCTTCCAACTCAAACTATTTTATGATTCTGCTCCTTTGTATCAGAATGATCTCTGGTGCAAAGCAGAGCTGAACCAGGCAAAGCTCAATTCAAGAGTCATCACTAGCTGCTGACACCTCCCTGCCCACACTGTCCAAAATAGTTCTAATGGGCTGGCACATCAAATTCACTGATGATGCTAAATCATGAAGAGGCAACTGATAAGATAGCAACCTAAACAGAAACCTGAGCTTCAGCAAGGAGAGGTGCAGAGCTCTGCACCTGGGCAGAATAACCCCATGCATACATACAGGCTGGCAAGTGACAGGCTGTACAAGAGCCCTGCTGGAAAGGACCTGGCGATGAACTAGCAATGCGCTCTCACCAGAAGTAAACACACACTGGCTGGACTACATTAGGAGAATTACAGCCAGCAGATCAATGGCATCTACTATATTCCATCTACTTCGCACCAGTGAGGCCACATATATAAAATCATGCTCAGTTTCATGTCCTGTCCTGTCTTCCCCTCTTGACGTCCCAACTCAAAAGCAATGCTGATGGGGGTCCTGCAAAAAGCTATGAAGATGACCAGGGCACATGCGAGCTGAGGCTGAGAGAGCTGGCTTTGCTGACTCCAGCAAAAAAGCACCCAATGAGGTATCTAGGAACAGCCCACAACTACTTAAAGGGCAGTTACAGAGATGACAGAGCCAAACTCTTCTCTGCAGTGGCAGGTGAGACAGAAATGGCAGCAAATCAAAGTGGGGGACCTCCCAGCTGGACATCAGAAGCTTCCTCACTGGGAGGTGGTGAGCACTGACAAAGGCTGCCCACAGGGTGCTAGAGCCACCTCCGTTAGGGGCTTTGGAGACTTGGTGAGATATGGCCACAGCTGACCTCACCCACTGGTGTTGGCAAGAGTCTTGCTTTGAGGGCTCTACAGATCCACCAATCCAACCAAGAATTCAGTGATCAGCTGAGCTCCTCCCATTAGCTTCAACAGAAATCAGTAGGTTCACTTCAACCACAATATCAGATTTTCTCCACTTCAAATAATAAGTTCCAATATTACACAAGAATAATAAGTACTGTAGTCCTACCCAATTTTCCAAACACAAGTAAGCTATTATATTCAACATAAGTAGCAAATTTTTTTTTTTTTTTTTTTTCCTTTTTAACAAAATTACCTCCAGAAAATGTTACAAAATGCACATGCAATCAAGGCCTGGCCTGAAATGGCCTGGCCATTCACAATCCTCTTCCCCAGCAAAGGATCTTCATTTAACAAGATTCTCAAGAAGCAGCAGCTCTTCTCATTCACCAGCTGGTGTTACAGACAAGCTCCCCTCTTGCAGGCTGCGTGGGCTGCAGCCTTTCAGAAAAGACAGCTCCATTTCTGATGTACAACAACTGGACTGGCTGGCTCACATCGTCAGAGAGGGTTGCTACAACTCTACCAAACACACACTAGCCAACTGCAGGACCCACAGTAGTCATCCCAAGCCCCCAAGTTTAACTTCTAGAAAAACATTAATCCTTTCTTAGGCTTATATAGCACTTGGGGGGAGGGGAAAGGTCTGTCCAGTCTTTTCCACATTCCCAGTTGAAACAACATTCACAAGTCCTGCTGCCCCTACACCTTTATTTTTTGGGGGAAAAAAAAAAATCCTGGCAAGCAGAAGGCATGCTTTTGCAACATGAAACCAGGGGAAAAAACAGCTGATGAGCAGCTGAGAAACAATGTCTCACTGACTCCTCATCACAGCTACTGCACAGGTAAAAATATTTACCTTAAAAAAGGCACCGCTAACGCTTCAGAAAACATTCCTCAATTATTAAACCTGTTGTAAGGGGTCAGACAGAGAAATGTTGTCGTTTGGATCCTCAAGGGTGAAGAGTAATGGGCTGAAGCTGGAACAGCCTTCCACTGTGTTCAGTATAGGATTAATCACATTGTCCAATTGAAGATAATTACACAACCTCACTAAAAAGTATTTCTTTTTTTGTAGTGATACTGTCAGTCAGCATTATTAAGTAACCTACAGCATGTTACAAGCTAGAATTTTACGATGTTAAAGACTTATGACAATGACGTGGTCATAGTAAGAACAGAGAGGATATATTAACTGTTTTTTTTTTTCAAGTAGGTATCAAGTGAAGGCCAAAAAAGGATTACAAGGTAGTCATTATGCAGACAATTAAAATGTGAAATTAATAGAGCTATGCATTTCATACTAAGCAAAAAGAAAAAAGCTGAGACAAGCTCATCTCTTGCACAAAAGGACTTCAAAAGACTTGAAAACAAACGACTTCCAATTTATTGTGGATTAAATGGTTCTGTGTGATAGCATTCACCTTGTACTTACCAATGCCATCAGGTAAGACCTGAAGCAAATTCTGAGAAACAAGCAAGTCTGTTAAAGAAGTCAGACCACTAATTTCTTCAGGAAGGCATTCCAATTTATTTTCAGAAACATCCAGACAAAGCAGGTTTTTCAGGTTTCCTACTTCCTGCAATACAATACAAAAAATTTAAGCCATGCCTAAACACGTAACAAAGCAATTTGAAAAATGTACCATCACAATGAAATTCCAGAAAGAGAAACAATTCTCTGTATGACTCCTAAATTGGCCATTCTTTGTATAACCTCTAAATGCAGAAAAAAAATATAAATAATTACATTTTACATATGATAAACCAACCAAGCTATTCAGTCACAGTTTCTTATTCCGGCTATTAAGACTGGCTTCAGTAGTCAGACAAGGTATGCTGAGCACACCCAGGCAAGTACCAGCCAAAACTGGAGTCTTCCTCAAGCAGAGACTGCAAAGTTGTTTTTTTCAGAACTACAGATTATCAGACTCCACATAATTAAAGCCTGCCCCTCCCAATTAACCCTAGGCAAATTAGGATTAGTTTATCCTGGCTGATACAGCAACATGCATGATATCTAGGGATTTCATATCTTCACATCTCCCAAATGCAACAAATGTAGAAATAGGAATTTGGAGTGTTGATCTAGCAAGCATATTTGAACTGCCAAGTTATACTGCCATCATCTACAATTATTAAAGATTACTTCACTTTTTACAATAGTAATCTGCCAATTATCTTAAAAGTCTGACAGAGAAATGTCTTTGATCCTAGTAGCCATCAGAGCATCCTCCCACTCCCCATGTACACAGACACCCCTACATATGCTCTACGATAGTTCTCATTTTAGTCATCCAAATAATCCTTCAGAGAACAGAATGGCTAGGGCAGAAATGTCCTTTACTTTTACAGACATGAAATTTTCATATAGTGAAAGCCTTGATCCTACCTTCCAAGATCAGTTCTTTTATTTTGGAAATGTTTGCCTCTCAAGAGGATCTTTCACTAAAAGTACACACACACTTTATCCTACAAGTTCATTTTTGGACATTAGACAAGATATACAATAACGGTCAGCTTCAATAAAAACAGCTGCTGAAGTCACACTTGACCTTTTATGAATGATTATCAGTGTTTAACTACATCTACTTAAAAAATTACTAGGCCAAGCTAACAACAATAAAGCCAACAAAGCCCACTAAACTGTAACAGATTTCCAAGTTACACTGTCAACAATGAGACCAATACAGCAAATACCAGCAAACCGCACAAGGAACAGGGGAAAACAGGTTTTGACTTGACTTTAAGGAAAAAAGAGGGAAAAGAAAGCATCCCACATGTTACCACAGTTCTTAAAGAGGAGGAATTTAGAGTGCTGTAAGCTTTAAATGGTAAGGCCCCTCATCCCATGATTGATGTCAGACGGGGGATTTGCCTGCATAAATCAAAATTTCTATTTATGGCAACAGTTCTACTATTGTACTTCTCCCAAACACTGTATTTAAATAGAAGTCAACAACTGCAAAAATTCATCCTCAAAACTGCAATTTAGATACATACAAAAGGTGAGGGTTAGCTCAGCCAACTAATGGCTCCCTGATCATTGGGCCATGACTGTAAACAGAGGATGCGTCATCCTATAAATTGAACAACGTGCCTATTAGGAAACAATTCCTTTGTCAAAATGTTTAAAAGAAAATGTCTGACAATATGTATCATGTACAAATACTTGCAGAGGAGCTTATGAAGAGAAAACCCTTACACATCCAAAACCAAAGCCAGGCAAAGTGAACTGAGAAAACTATTCAATTTTAGATCACCTCCCTTTAGGTATGAATGAAAAGGTTTTCTTTTATAAGCATCTTCAAAACGGTATCAGCAGAGCGCATCTTTACCTGAGGTATTTCGGCTAATTGGTTTCCATCCAACCAGAGGTCTTTAAGATTGAAAAGTGCACCAATTGTTTCTGGCTATAACATAAAAAGTAATAATGTTAAGTAACATAGGAGCTTCAAGTAAAAACCAAACGGCCACCCCATAATTACGGTCTGAGTAAACCAATCCTTACTCCAAGCACTGCTTAGAGGTACCACGGTTAAATGAAGTAAGGGTGACTGTAAGCATTTGGGAACTCCATCATACAAATTAATTGCTATAGCTTAACAAGCTACCATACTTTACCTGACATGCACTAACAAATTGCAGGCACATTCCTAATCTACTGCAAATCCAACATTTAATCGAGTCACCTTAAGGAAGATGACAGATATCTTTTGGTAGATCTATCTGCCACACTGTCAGACACTGCAACCCTCAACAGTTTCCCTCAGCCCTTTCCCAAAGATTCCTCCTCCCACCCTGGAAACAGCTGAGCCTGTGCTCAGCCCCTCCAGAAGCCCATGCGCTCATTGCAACCGCAAGTGCAGACGGAGTTTGTGCCCTTCCACTCCTTTTTCTTTCTGCAGAAAAAGTCTGTGCAGTGCTCTCATTTTCTAGAGATCAGCCACAATTCTTTGGCTAAAGTAATACTGTACTGAACAAGACTAAGCAGATATGCGAAGCACCGACTCACTGCCAAAATTCATCCGTATGTATAAAAAGAGTCTCCCCTCCACACATCTGTCTGTCTTCAATTTTGGTCATCCTACGATCTATCTAATCTAAATGATGCATAAAACAAGACCAACATGCACTTTCAGTGGCATGTTCTCTTACCAAGTGATAAAGTTCATTGTTTCCTAAATCAAGTTCTTCTAGTCGCTGCAGCTGGGCAAGTGATCTGTGAGATAAGTCAAAACAAAACCACATCAGACTAAACCAACAGAAACCCATGTATTTGAATGAGCTCATTTTACTGAAACTCATATTTCAAATTACAATGTATGGTAGACAGAGTTATGTTACTGGATATGGGCTATTTGCAGTAATATTTTACTGAAAAAATTTCAGTTTGTCAGTATAACTGTATACCCTTAAAATTTAGTACAGGCAATCAAATCATTACTCCTTATTTTAATCATCAGTCCTTCGGGGTGGACAATGCCACATAGATTAGTATAGTAAGTTAGATTTATTTTTAAGGGGAATTTACAGTTATGGAACCAGATAAAAATTCCCCATAGTGAGCACATGTAGCAATGTGACTCAAGAAATCCATCATTTATCTTCCCAACCTGATCTATCCATTTCTGAAGGATTTCAGGTTGGATTTGAGGATGCAGATGGAAGCCCAAAAGGACATAAAAGAAGTTCTCTGAACATGAACAGATATAGGGGGACATCCTTCTACTTCAGAAGCAGTCTGTTCTAGAGCTCTGGCTTACTTTCACCAAAGACGCTGCAACATGAAAGCCAGCGAGACCCATCAACTACATCACTGACAGTCAGAATTCTCCAGGAGCAATAAAATTGTCAACTTCATTCTGACACCACATGGCAAAACGTAGCTAGCAATTCGTATCTTCTGATCGCTGACATTTTAAAGCGCCTTGTGGCTCACAGCTACTAACAGCTGCAAACAAGATACTGGTAGATTGACAGGAAAAGAGGACCCCAAAGTGACTGGGGAAGAGATTCTAACTAAAATATGTTAAATCTTTTGCAGTAAATCTAATAGATTATCTAAACAAGCAGAATAGGAGTCACCAAAACTCTTGCAAGAAGCAGCCATGTAGTAAAGGAAGGAAACTCCTTCACTAGATAGAGGAGGCTTCTTCCAGGCAGCCAAAAAGTATCCCCAAAATGTAAGATACCAAATTAATCTTACAAAAGACCACCAATTCCTCTGGTGGAGGTACCCATCGAGGTACCTTCTTCCCCCCAAAATCACAGTGGGTGGAATCAGACTTCAGACATCAGTAGGCCTGGTTTGTCACCAAGGCTCTGATCTCCAGGTTTTGGAAGCTTTTGGTTACTTAGCCCTGAACATGAACACTTATTTAAATGCTATGAAGTTCTATAGTGGAAATCTCCAAGATCTTATTACCCTACTTTCACAGTTACGAAATTTCAGCATGAGAACAACCCAAACCACCACTCCCACTGCTGATGCGCTCGTTCAATGCGTGCAGGAAGAAATGTTTGGTGCTGCGGAATTATATACAGAATATTTTTATAGAGCAAAACCAATCCTCACAGACTGCAGGCTCCGGCTACTAACCAAGTAAAACTAGAAGTAATGGATCTAATTAGGTGTTGCTAAAACAAAGCTGTATCCCATACATGTTGTCAATCAGTTTCATATGCTAGCAGATTTTAATAATACAAACATTTTACGTTAAAATAATCAAACACATGAAATGTCACTTACTCAGGTAAATATGTCAGCAAATTTTCTCTAAGTTCCAGTGAAGCCAGGTTATAAAGACTAAAAAAAAAAAAAAAAGGAAAAAAAAGAAAACCCACCATATTTTAGTTTTAATGCAGTCTTACTTTTTGTATACCACACTTTCAGAAAAGTGTGTTTACACAGTTTAAAACAAAATTGCTGTGAACTGATTTTTTTGTTGTTTTAATTCAACCAGACCATCACATAAAAGGCAGCATACAAAGACTGGAAGTTTTTGCTTGTTTCTCTGCGATACTTCAACACATTAAAGCTAGAAAGTAAACAGACAAAACAAATTTCCATAAACGTCAGTAGTTCCAAGTTACTGAACAGGGCATATTCACAGGAATTCCATTTACTTACTCACTTTCAGAATCTAGTGTGGGCTACGAATGTTACAGAGCATCAAGTAAACCCATCACTGTTCTAACAACAGCGTGCTCATTACTGTAAGTGACATTATACTTCTAAGCGGCTCACTTACTCCATATCCCAGGCTTTTACTAACATCACCATAGCAACATTCAGATTTTTCAGGGGTTTATTTATGACTAAATGGAACACAAGGAGTCAGACATTATCCCAACACTATAATCTGCTCTAATCCTCCAGTGTCCCAGGGAAAAATAAAAATCAGATACGGTGACTGCAAGTAAGTAGTTTCCTACAACAGAGCATGTTCTGTCCTGCCGTGCAGGGAAGGGGGACAGTGTGCTAGGCCTTAACTAAAATTTTAAAAGATTAAAAAAGGAATTCCACTAAATTTGAAACACATGTTAAACCTAAACCCAAAATGTTTTTCTTTGTACAGCTTTGGAAGAAAAAAACAAAAGCTCAGGTACTCAAACCGCATAAAAATGAAACACTTGTTTTCACTGCAAACAATGCCAACATACTGAATTACAGGATCATTAGTTAGCCCCAACAAAAAAGCATCTTATAACCTGAATAAAACTACAGAAAACCTTCATATTGCAACTCCAATACAGCTATCTAAGCAGGGAATGCAACATAACTGATGTAATGATTAGTAAAGAGGAAAGATCATCTTTCATGGATTGACTGTGGATGGTGACTGGAAAATACATCCTTATTTCAAGCACCTATTTCGTACGGCATTCAGAAAACAGTGAACAAAATCTCTTGGGAGCTTTGAGTATGGCCTCAGCAGTCCTCTCCAGATTTTAAAATAAGCACACTTTACCCAATGGGTTCTGTATTCCTCCAGAAGAAATACAGTTAAAACATACAGGCTGAGATGACAGGCTGAGAGTTAGGGTTGTTCAGCCTGGAGAAGAGAAGGCTCCAGAGAGACCTTAACAGTGACCTTCCAGTACCTGAAGGGGGCCCACAAGACAGCTGGGGAGGGACTTCTTACAAGGGCATGTAGTGATACGACGAGGGGTAATGGTTGGAAGCTGGGAGAGGGCAGGTTTAGACTAGATATAAGGAAAAAGTTCTTCACCTTGAGGGTGGTGAGACACTGGAACAGGCTGCCTAAGGAAGTTGTAGATGCTCCATCCCTGGAAGTGTTCAAGACCAGGTTGAATGGAGCCTTGAGCAACCTGGTCTAGTGGAAGTTGTCCGTGACACGGCAGGGGGGTTGGAACTAGATGGTCTTTGAGGTGCCTTCCAACCCAAACCATTCTATGATGCTATGATATACCATATAAGTGAAGTTATTTTAGTAGAAGCCTATTACAAATTCAATTAAAAGATAAGTGAGAATAACTCAGCTACTGCCACTCAAAATCATTTGACAGAAACAAGGTAATAAGGAAGCCATCATGCCAATCACACAAGAGAAAACTCTCATATAAAAATTTTAACACTGTAAAACACAAGTCAAGATGGGACACAGTATTCAACAATCCTCACAGAAACCGAACCAGTATAGGGGAAGAGGGAAGGAGTCATAGAGAACTGTTTCTCTCCGAGAGGAATATGGGTCTGCTCTTACTCACGTTGCCACCCACAGACTACCATTACATTTCTGTTTACAGGTTTTCTAGAAACCTATTCCAATCTTCCTTTGAATTTCACACTTTCTCTTCAAGCTCACATTAGGTGAGGCCCATGATTCACTTTTATCACAAGAATATAAAATGGATGTGCACACCGCCAAGCTGCCTTGTAATCTTGTGTTTACAGATCACCCCGCATCTACTTATCTCCCTCCCCATCACGCTGAAGTGTCGATGAGTAAAATGGTGCAATCTCTTAATTTCTCTTCTTACATCAGACACCTCTTTGGCTGCGGTTAAGCAGAAATCTTTGTCAGCAAAACCACGTTCAACAGCAAGAACTTGGGAACCACCATCTTAAACAGCTTCATCGTATCATTAAACTAGGGCAGGCCAGAGAATCAGCTCAGGAAACTGATCCTGCTTAAAAATAACCCAGCAAAAAGAGTAACACAGATCCCTAATCCAACATAGAATAAATCCCTTTAAACACCTGGACCAGTACAACTGCCAAGGAGGTGCAGGGGAGGCATCTGTCCTGCCCAAGCCAGCAGCGCTATGAGGGAGGACTCAGTGAGTAGCCGTGTCCTTGTGGATACCCACAACAGCTGTCTTTGCATCCAACCACCTACCACACATTTCGGAGACTGACTGTGGCCGATCACAGTCCCAGGCTAGGTTCTCTTCTTATGCGAGTCAGCTACCTATGGGATCACGCTTTCATCTCTAATGGCGCAGCTTTCTGGAGGAGAAAAGTTTTATTCTACAGCTATTCTCACTCACAGCACGCTCACAACTGTAACTACCCTGGAACAAAACAAAGACACTTCCCTCCACCCTTTTAATCTATCCTTTCTACCTCTTCCAAAGTCTTGAGTCTGAAGCCCATGTACGCAGATCCCAATAGCCAAAATGAAGCTTCCCACCAAGTAATGTAAAATAGAGACTAAGTCTATGAAGTTTATACCAGTAAAGCTGTCCCATTAGGCTGAAGCATTATGTTTAAAGTGGATCCATCTGAAAGAGGCCAAAAAATGAAAGGAAATTTTTGACTCACTACTCTTAAATTTCAACTAGTTACAGAAGCAGCTCCCAGTAAACCTATGTGCTGCAATTTAAAATGGGAAAATGTGACAGTTATCTCATAAAATAGAATCATCTAAAAGGCATGCTGATGTATTGAAGCACCAACCTCTGAGACATCACAGAGCAGAGGTATAGCTCTTTCTTAAATATACAACAGATCCTCCACACATTGTATGTTCACTAACATTTTTCTGGGTTTAGGGTATGTCAAGAAACAGGTTTTTTAGTCATTTGCAAGAAAAACTTTACATTTCTTGCTATTTTTCAAGTATCTTTTCTGATTTAATAACACATTCTCTCCAGAAAGTGTAATTCTTCCTCTTCTCAACTACAAATAGAGCTTTTTCGTAATATACTAAATGAAATAACGTCTTCTGTTCTCTCTGCCCTTAATGTTACGGTTGCATTGTTAGTCAAGTCTTTCTGAAGTCTCTGGAAGGAACTAAAGGAAGCCATACTTTTGACGATTTCAGAGTCTCTCCCTAATTCTAATCTTCATCTAGGAGAGAAAACCAGTCATGGGGGGTTACCTGTTTCAATCTGTAAAACACAGGCAACAGCAACCTACTCTACCCAAACCGGAGACGGTTTCATCATCAGCTGTTCACCAACTGCATTTAGAAACACAAACGCACCATAGAGCATTGCAGGCTGCTCTCCAACACTGACAAACAGTCCTCGCTCCCTCAAAATAATCCAAGAGAAAATGTACAAGCAAAATGTCATCTCTATTCTAAAGCAGAAAGAAAAAAAAAAAAAAAAAAAAACAACTAAGTACTTTTCCAAGACTACTATCATAAGAAGCTATTTCACAGAAGCTCGTAAAAAGCATTAATACTGTAATAGTTCTTACCACAAAAGCTATCGCACACACCTTGAACACTGAGCATGCGTGTGAAATTACTGAGCACAAGGCAACAGCCCAATCAGGCAGAGGATGCTGTAACCGAAATAATTACAAAGTCTTCCATCTCAGCATTCTAAATGATTTCTGTTGTAAAGATGGACGCAAGCCAAATTTAAAGGTATGACATGGCTAAAAATATAATTTTCAGTACAAACCAGATACACTTATTCAGTGCTGTAGATATCGGTATTTCATCACGTGAGCTAAAGAATGGAAAGAAGAATGTGAAAACAATAATTGAGAACAAAGCTAATAGCAACAAAGTAGTCCATAAATGCTGGGAGTGTCTTTCCTGAGCATGCCTGTCAGGATTCAGGAGAAAAACTCAAATCCAATATGGTCTACAGATAGGAAACACTGTAAATACTCTTTCATGCCAACTGCAGTAGTCTCCTCCAAAATAAAGGTAATAGAACCAGGCACTAAGATCGGAACCAAAGCATGTTCTTTTTCCAAAGCAAGTCAGTTTTTCTTTGGATTAATTACAAAGAGATTATCAGCAGCAACATGCCCTACAACACAACCATTTCAAAAGCAGATGACTCTCTGGCCAACAGCAATTCACTGCAATACGTAAAATGACATCAATTGCCGTTAAAAACAAAAACAAAGAAAAAAGAAAAGGAGGAAAAAAAAAAAAAAAAGACAGACAGAGAGACATGTTCCCCAGTTACCTTGGATGAAATTACATTTTCAGTGTACCACATACATTAAACATACTCTGTCTTGTAAAGTTACAAAATACAAAACTGAGATGAGTTATCCTAGCGCTGTTACTTTATCAGGGACAGCTGCATGATTCCCTTATTCAAGGGGACAGAAACAAAGGAAGGTCCTACACAGTACGGATGGCTAAGGTGAGAACACAGTACAGAGTCTGAATTTGGCCTGATATTACATTTTTTATGCAGCAGTAGCGATGGCTACAGAACACAGTCCAAAGATGCAGCATACAGAAATAAGATATGAAGTCCACATTCTGGCTATTTCCACCAGTTCCAAAGGACTTCAGTTTGCTGGGCCAACATCTGAAGATTACTGTTATTTTGATAACACCTGCCCTTGCATCTCTACACAGCACATACCCTTTGAAACGTTCATGGTGACGCTAGACTGGGAAACAAAGGAGTTTAAACTAGACACCTCGTTTTATTTTTTGTGCACAAAAGGAACATGACAGTTTTTCTGTCTATCAAGGGTCTTCCAAGAGATGAGAAGGTAACTGTGGTACTCTGACAACAGCATACAAAACGCATGAGACTAGCCATAATTAAAATATATTACACCCTAACCCCACTGCCCAAACAAAATCAGTAACATGTATGACCCTGCCCGAGGACACACCAGCTAGGTGACTAGTCACTCATCTGATGGGATGCTATTAAGCTACTCCCATCCCACAGGGCTTCTAGCTGCAGACCGACAATTCATTGAGAACCTGACATTCAGCAGCTTTTTTCCCCCCAAGGAAATGACAGAGTTAATCAGTCACTAGCTAGCTCTCAAAATGCCACTTACTCAGACCACAAATATTTGAAGGTACAGCATATACCTTTGGGATAGGCTCCTGTTCCAAGTCACTCTCAAAAGAAGCCTCTTTCTCTCACCCTCCCTTCACTGACTGTATTACTGACTGCAGAAAGAGTCTGAAAAGACCAGTCTCCAAGCTCCAACTCCCATGCCAATCACATCCTGGGCTGCATCAAAAGTAGCATGGCCAGCAGGTCAAGAGAGGTGATTCTGACTCTCTACTCTGCTCTGGTGAGACCCCACCAGGAGTACTGTGTCCAGCTCTGGGTTTCCCAGCACGAGAAAGGCATGGACCTGCTTGAACAGGTCCAGAGGAAAATCACGAAAATGGTGAGAGGGCTGGAACACCTCTCCTATGATGAAAGGCTGAAAAGAGTTGGGGTTGTTAAGCCTGGAGAAAAGAATGCTCTGGGGAAGACCTTAGCGCGGCCTTTCAATATATAAAAGGGGCTTATAAGAAAAATGGAGACAGACTTTTTACCAGAGCCTGTAGAGACAGAACAAGGGACAATGGTTTCAAACTGAACGAGGGTAGGTTTAGGTTGGATATAAGCAAGGAATTTTTTTTACAATGAGGGTGGTGAGACACTGGAACAGGTTGCCCACATAGTTGGTAGATGCCCCATCCCTAGAAGTGTTCAAAGTCAGGTTGGATGGGGCTTTGAGCAACCGGATCTAATGAAAGATGTCTCTGCCCACAACAGTAGGGTTGGATTAGGCGATATTTGAAGGTCCCTTCCAACCCAAACCATTCTATGATTCTATGAAATTAGGTGCTTAAACTTGGGTGGTTTCAAGAGGTTCTGTAGCACACACCCCTTTCCAGAGTTAAGCACCACTTCAGCTCTTCCCTGAGTCTGTCTTATTTCACACACACACAGTTACTATACCTGCCAGCACCATATTCTTCCTTGGTGTCTGAACAACCAGCTCCATGTAGATTTTCTGTGTAATGACATTTCCAATGCAACAAAAGCAATATTAGCCCTATAGGGAAGGATCATGCTTCCTGAATTTCCCAAGGTTCTGTTAACATATAACCATGTACATGTAGTTTGTGGTCTATAAGCTCCCGGTATGCATTTTGACCTCTTTTTTAAAAGGTTCAACACTACATGCTTATTTTGCTTCCAACTACTGCTTAATGCTGGCATATAATAAGATAAAGTTATCATGAAAGAACCTTAAAATTCATATCCATTATATGGTAACCTACAAATAGTACAGAACTGCAGCTAGTTTCCTTTTCTCAAGAAGATTATTTCTCCAAAAAGTCTAGCTTAGGCTTAAAGCATGTTTTTTTTTCCAAATGTCGGCTTTAACTAGTATCCTGCATCTTTGTTTGGTTACCCTTTTGTTATGGAAACCTGTGTTACAGTGTGAATTATAAAAAAGAGCACTAATGAATTTTTGTACAATTAATCCAATAGCATTTAAAGAGAGAGACCTTACGCCCACACCATGTAATAGGGGAGAGCAATTTTTGCAAATTCTTAGCTACTGAATCCCAGAAATTCTTATATGCGTCAGAAATTAAAGGAAGTATTAATTTCCTAAATGAGGGTGCTTACCCATTTCAGCAAACTCTCTTCACACACTTGAGCTCCTACAGTTCTACTTCAGAATATAAGGGATGCTGTAAAAGTAATTCCAAAGCAAGGCAACTAGATTTTGTTTCGATTAAACTGTTATGCCTCATCAGTAAAAGACCATTCTTCCAGATGTCATCTTTGAAAGCATTCCCCCTCCTCCTTTTTGGATGCAAAGCAACTTGAAGTAACTTTCATCTAAGTTAAACACTATTTTGTCCTCTCAAGTTTAGGTGTATAATGTGGAAGGGAAAGGCACATGAGGCTTTCCTTAGCAGTCCACTTCGGGAGTTTGACAAGCAGGACAGTATTCTAGTAAGATCAATTCTAGTAAGAAAATCTGAAAGTAAGGATTATGTTCCTAACACTTGCCATTTTCTACACAGCTGGGAGAAGTGAACACAAATTATGGGAGAAAATACACCTTCCTTGGAAGACTGAATTTAAATAGGCACAACAAAAAGTAAAGTTGATAATTATGTCATCCTAGACTTAAAACAGCAAAGACTCTGAAAGCCAGAGGAAGAGCACTTGCATAGCGCTACTTGAATTGAATTGCCGATTCCAGTAACTGGCTTGTAAGAGGCTACAGATCTTCCACAAGTGAAATCAGAAGGATAAAAACATTAGTATCTTATCAGCCACTAACTAGGGGAAAGACTAACAGACAGCCAGTAGTACAAGTCACATCCAAATCTTAAAAACAGAGAAAAGTTCTACAGTTTACAGCCAAGGAGTTCCATAAATATACAGAGGTATATTCTGTAAATAGACTACAGAGGTAGTCTAAGCTGCTAATTAAGACCAGTTTTCTACATAAGCTTGGTTTTCAAGTTGCTGGGATCAGTTCTTCTCTCTCTGCCACTCACACACAGCAACAAGCATGGTTCAAAAAAAGGGACAGGAACACTGAACTCCCTACGACCTTCAAAAGGCATATAAAGAAGAAGAGAGAGATTCGTAATTACTGCTTCAGCCTGTTCACTTTTGAATGCTTTAACCGAACATTCTCCAATTTGCTTACCAAGTTTACTGATATGGGCCGGGGAGGCTAAGCCACTTCACTATTACAACAAGATCTCATTTTCAAAATATCTTCCACTCCACTCATGCAACGTCAATCTTCAACGACTTCAAAAAATGTAATTACTTTATTTCAAAAAAATATTGCTAAATATATGTTAAATATTTCTTCCTTGCGTAACATACAAAATGCCATCTCTCTCATTTAAAGGCCAGACAGCACTACATTCACTGTTACATTGTTAAACGGTGTTCCTGAAATAAGCTTTTGAGTTCCTTAACATTCCCGTTTGCCATTTAACAAACAGCTGTGTTTAACACTGAATGCTCTACCTACTCAAACTCTCTAAATATTACTTGTCATGCTAAATTCAGATAAGCCAGAGTAAGAGCCTTTAATACTATTTATATCAGCCTAGCCAGACCACCTACAAACAGTCCTCCTTCTATGTATTTGCAAGATAAGCCTCTCCGTCACTTTTGTCATATCATCTAAGACCGTGTTTTAGTAAGACATTATTATGCTAAACCTTAAAACAGAATTACATTGTCTTGTTCCACACAATTATAAGAGCATTTTCCATTCTGTGGGATGCTACCAGACGTGTAATAAACACTTGAGGCATCCCAGCACACACTAAGGAAAACATAGTCAAGGACTGGCCCAGGAATCCATTATCAGAACAAGCATGCCATTCTGATCCGCTTCTGGATCATCTGCATTGAACGCATCATCCTTGCCTTTGAACACCTTTTATTCTCCATCTACTCCTATACAGATCAACATTAAAGATTTTGAGTTCAGAAGTTAACTGAAAACTTCAAAATCTCTAGAATTAAACACACTTACATATATATAAAACCCCACCTCAATCAGTGACTTGTTTCTCTAACATGAAATCTCTGGAAATTCGTGGTTCCACAGCTCTTGAAAAGCAGCATGCCTATAACAAATCTTTCTGCAAACAATGGTCCTAAGTCCAGTAACATTTTCTCTATTCTTTTCATTATGTTCACTACCATAATGAAATGCCTATTTCAGCTTTCTACCTGCTAGCTGCAGATGTTAAGAGGGAAATTTCTCTGCTTACCTGGTAACTTCCTTTCAGTAGTGTCCACAGATCCATTCAGCCTGCTTCCAGCTTGAGGGTAAACCAGACTCATCAGTCATCGGCATCAGAAGAATATCCTTCCCATCTAAAGAAATTCACCTCTCCTCACCTCTAAAGTTTCTAAAGCTAAAATAATGCTATTCTACTTTCTTACACTATAGACCCTGCAGTCCTCTGAAAAAAAAGGGGGGTGAGGGAGGCTCTGAATGATGGGGATGATATGCATAATGATACTACTATGATCTTTTCTTGAATCCTCACGATCTGGAGATCATGTTCAAGTAGGAGACCATCTGTACATT